ATTATAAAATATAAGATAAACTGGTCTAGATAAGATTAAGGTATAACCTTGTACAGTTTTTGACTCATTTGCTCCTTTCCTGTATTTACAACTGAATAGTAAAACACGCTCAATTCTCTACGTTTATTTTATCTCCTCAGTTACGTTTAGTCTATTGTTGATAATGATAATTGTATAGCTTGTATTATTGATAACGATAATTTATATCACCATTGACTGTGATTTAAGCAATTTATTAATCGTCAATGATGACTATTTAAATGAGATAGGGATCGATCTACATTAACTGAATTAATCATTAATCTTATTGACCTACATTTTCTTTAAATCTTCTTAATCGTATGTATTGCCTGTTTAAACGAGGTGTGATGTTATCTATATGAATATATTTGACCACTAATCTTATTAGCTTTAGCTTCAACGTAAGACAATATCCTAAATCATTTGAAAGTTTACAATAAAATCAGCATTGTAGCATATCTAGCGATTGATCAGTTGTACAGTATAGTATATGTGCAATATAAATAATATTGCTTTCCTGAGTCGGCTTTCTATCGTTGATTAATAATTCTATTACATGACAACTTAGGATAAGTAAAAGCCCTCTATTGTCTATTTAATGAATAAGCGATAACTGCTAGTGATTGTTCAATTAGTCTCTTGTTTAATGGCTTGATTAATCTTATATTCAAGAGGATTCGAATGACTTAATTCTCAATAAATACAATAATCGACAGGAAAATAACTAACAACAGTCAACATAATGCATAACTGCTAGTCAAGGAGCCGACTATATTTATAATCGATCGTATGAAGGGGTAATTTATCAATCATGATGACCGCGTTTATATTTAGGGTATGGTAACAAGTTGAACAAACGAATTCGGATAATTATTACCCAATCATACACCGTTGATCACCAAAATTTGTTTTCAATAGTATTTTAATTGAGTTGAAATCATATAATAATACCTTGCCATCTTATTTTTATTTTCTTTAGCATCAGTCTGTAATGTGGTGAAAACATGTTGATTAATTTTAATCTCGGTAACAATCATGTTGTGTTAGCTAACATCAATAGAGGCAATTGTCACTGTTGTTTTTGATTTAAATAAAGCAGGAGAATTCAATATTTTCTGCGTCTTGCTGAGATTGTTTACGGTTATTACTGCTAACAGAGTATTGGTCTTATAAAACGAAAATCACTGAGTATATGGTACGATCAGATGATTTGGTATCCGAATAAAAATTAAATTGCTTACATCTGAAAGCGATTGAACATCTACTTTTTTACATTAACTTAAATCAATGTTGTAACTTTAGCGATTTATAGAATAGCTCATAAATTTTGATGAATCAATTGATCATCAAGGCTGTCTCGTCTCGTACATCATAATCGTTAGACAATGGCGTTTTCATCATTCATGATTAATTGTACTTAGCAGACAAGGGTTGAGCTACTTTCATTCGCCTTCTCTTTGATGTAACACTTGTAATGTATTAAACGAATTTTAAAAATAAAATAATGAGAAGATAGAAGAGTAATAATATAAAAAGTAGGTGAGAAAAATAGCCAAATCACCGCAATTTTGTTAGCGTATATATTTCCTATGGTAGTTTAAGACAGATGTAGGTTGTGTATAGCACTTTCACTCATGGATTATCTTAATTTAATAGTAAGTAAATGGAATAAATTAATTAGTTACCTTTAGGATAATTTATTGGAAATCCAACTAGAAAGGATCCGTTATTGCAACTGCAGTTTCAAATAATTCGATTGAATTTGTTCTTCCTTCCGGCAATATTATGACATGACTGTTCATGTATTATTATTTTGTCACTTGCCGTAGGGTACAGAAAGAAGTAATCGTTTGGAGTCCTATTGATTAAATCCCTCAGATTATCTATTATATTGTTAATCCAGTCGATGACTGCTATTGAAGAAAATTATGTTTCCACAACAACCGACGAGAAAACGTGCCTAATGCTATTAGGATTAATATTGAATTGTTTATTGTCACTAGCGCTGTTTGAATATTTTTAAAATTGATTTCAGGCAGTCGTTAACTCGCGTGGTTGGAAAAGGAGCTGTCAAAACTTGATATGATTGATAGTTTGAAATTTTCTATTTCTTGTTATCAAGTCTGCTAGGATGATAATAAAAATAAGAAAAATCCTATTATTTTTGCCTATTTGATGATTTTTAATTTTGAATAATAACACAATTAATAGTAAACATAAATTATTAATATTAATCTTTTAAAATATTCAAAAAAGTTAACGTTTACTCGAGTTTAAATTCTTGCGCGCTAATATGAATAATAATAATTTGTCTAGAGAAATTTTAATTTATTATTTACGGAAGTGATTTTTATATACTGTACTGTAAATTATTTAGTTAAAGGTGTATTTTTGTATGAGTTAGTCCTAATGAAGTCTTATTGCTATCTCCAGCTTGTTTAGTGTTAATCTATTTTTTTAGCGGGATTAGTTCTACAGGCAATACTAACGTGCCTATTACATCATAGTGAAGCGATTACAATGTCTGCTAGTATAGCATTGTATCTTATTCAATATGACTAAATAGGAAGTGATTCAACTTGCCACTTACAGATGTTAACAATTCATGTATACCGTACGATTAATAGTAGAGATGAGCTACAATACTTTCTATCATAGTTTTACATCCTGAAGAATATTATCAAAATCATGATACTATATGGCGTTGTTATATCCGAATGGTAGCATATAATTAACTCACGAATGTAGACAGAAATGATATAAGCGTATTGCGTAATATTGGAAATAATTATTATATCCCGCTGTATTTTGCCGAATATAATTAGGGTTACAATTATACGACAGTTTTACCCACTGATATGGTACGATTAAACTCGTCATTTTAAACAAAAATTATATACGCATGGAATGATCATACAAATAAATGCGCCTACTGTTACTATGGCATTGTATCTTTCAGAACGGTATAAGAATTAGTCTTTCTAAACCTAAATGTGCTATCGGCCTGCATACACATATGAATATTCCGTAAATAAGTTATGCACTCGTATTACTGTAATAGCTATAAGTTACAACCTGCAGTAGCAGTGAGTTCTACCGAAAAGACCGCATGTTCTATAAATTTATTCTTAAAGGCAAAAATAATATGGACAAAATTTATTGGTTATTTAACATATATTACTATAAATTAACTATCTAATCCAATATATCGTATAAGCTATAGATATGTGGAATTCATAAACCTACTATAATGTTTGTTTTAGAATGTATTCAGTCGAACATGCTACAATAATATGATAATTGTAGTTTTGACGAATATATATGATATAAACATAGGCAGTTGAATCGTAAATTATTATGTAGACATTAACGATGTGGTTCTATAAACTCCGAAAGTCTATTACATTCGGTCTGCTATTTCATTTTCTCTTTCAAATTTTAACCGGCATTTGAACGTACTGAACTATTTAGGTCGACCATGCGTTATAATATAACTTATCTCAGCTAAATGTATTTATTTTGTTATCACTGATACAATTTAATAGTTCCTAAATGTGCTATACGCGTAGGTATGTACATCAATCATTGTTAGATTTACTGAAACAAGTCAATTAATACCTTTATAATAAACATTATGGATATGTATAATATATGAAAGAATGATGAATCTAAATTTAAATAACATACTATGGAAATGGACCGGTGACACGGTACATGAGTCATCTTTTCACTGACGATAGTACTAATTCGATTATGAGAAATATAAAGTATTTATAGCGCTTGCCTAGATTATCATTCTCTAGGGCTATTTTAATCAAAAAAATTATCGATTGCAGTTCTGGTATATACTGTAGTTATGGGCCTGGCGCATGATAGATACTTTACCTATCGATTCTCATGTACAACTTAATCGCCAGCTATTGTAGTGTTTGTGTTGCATTAAATTTGACGTGTTCGGAAGATATATTGCGATTTGTTGTATATTTGCGGCACTCAGGAAGTTATCAATTCTTGATTACAATTTACAGATCTATTCGTGCTTTATAATATTCATAATTAGGTATCGTTAGTTTATGTGATACCCTTATTCTTATATAATGATAGATACATTAGAAAAATTATCAGCTGTCAGCACTACTGATTTATTGTGGCATTTATTTTGATCGTAAGTCTTAGAATTTGGTTATTCATGATTTCATGAAACATGCACACAATTGTCTTGGTTGTGATTGAACGCTCTGCAAATGTAATTGCCTTAACTATGTTTTCATAAGGGAGACACGTACGTTTGCGGTTGCAATTTAAGCTGAATCAAGAAAATTTGAATTTTATTAAAATATCAAGAAAAATTACTATTGTGTATAGTAAAATCCGCCAATCTTGAGGTTCAGATGACGACAGTCCTAAAAGTGAGTCTTACTATTTGCGCGAGTGTTAGTATTATATTAGGCGAATAATTAGTTCGTGAAGGGGGTTCGCCTATAATAGGCACTCGTATTTCGTATAACTACTACAAAATGAAGACACAATATTCATTCTACTATGTAGATCTGCAGAAATAACATTCGATCCATGTTACGAAAGTAACCGAGCAATTCCGTATGCATATAATAAATAGATACGAGCAATTTAATGATAAAACATATCCAATTAAGAAGTAAATTTTATTTTTACAGCAATCAGTAGCCTGAGTGATTATAGATATGTATGAGCAAATTTGATAATTGAGTTTATACACAATTTTGAACTCAGATAAGAACCAATACATTTCTCTAAAAAATCTTACATTAATATTCAATATAAATTTAGGTTAATATAGCATTGGCAGGATGATTTAATCAATCCATTATTAATATTTGTTCATTAGATGTAGACTTTGCTGCTTAATTTATAAAAATTAAAAAATTTAGTTACAGATGTGGTGTTATCTTCAACCAGTTTTTAAAGAAAAGTCAGAATATGAATAAGTTTAAGAGAAATTATTTCTTTTTAAATGGTAATACCAAAGAAATCAATCTATTAAAAATACTTTGCTTTTTGATATCTTCGATATTTTTGAGTTGGTATTGTCGCGTGGTTAAATTGTGTATAGAACCGAACGCAATAGCAACTACAGTACTAGTTAAGCATATAACTATAAACGGCATGCTAAAATCAGGTGTAGGTAAGGTTACAAGTAAAGCTTCTGTATATAATCGAGTGATAACTTCTTTATCATGGTTACGGTTACTTGCCATCAGTGGAGGCACCGTTGTATTGGCATCATTTAGCAGAACTGTAGTTATTACTGCTGAACTATAATTACAAGAAATATATTTCAATCAGTAAACTAATAATAACGAGTTGAAGAATAAACCAGATTAATGCCAACTTTCAATTACATATACGTACAGACATTATATATGTATAATAAACATTTAGACAACATTGTACACGGATTTCTTAGCGTACCTTATATAAAAACCATGGTGAGCATCTGGTGGGTGTTCCGTCCATTTTAGAAATGCTCGTTGGAAGTCTATCTTTATGGTTGTGGAAGATTTCGCTGGAAGCCTCAACGCTAATTCCAGTAAGTACGGTCGCGATCGATCTTTTCCGGGAATGAATCGTCGATTTAATAACACTAACATTATGCATAAAATTATGGTCAATAGTGATTAAAACATGTATACGTATAAGAGTTCAGGAAACTATAATTAATAACAAAAAGATTACCATTCTGAGCTCTCTTTCTGCTACAAAGAACTTCAAATGTATGTAAATATAATCGAAAGAACCACGGGACAACTTCCATGTACAGAATATTTATATCGCGTTCATCATGGTTATATATCCTTGTCCTGATTCCACCGTTCTCGTCACCAAGACCTATAAGAAATTATTTAAATTAATTGATACTTACTAGCAAGAAATCAACGGATTATTTTTACTACGCGTATATTACTATAATACTATAACGTAATGCACACAGTTGTTAAATGTGCTCCTCACATGGTACTATCAGTGATGATAGATTACTAGATATGAACTATCGTACCTGTGGCATATCTATGGGTATCTAATGGAGGGTTCAGTCCGCGTCCTAACAATATATTATAGAAATAAAACTAAATTGTATGTCTTAAAAATGTATAAGGATCAATGCCTTAATTATGAGGCTACAGAGTTAAGTTAATACCGTATTTTTCTAGTTTAAGCCATTCCATAGCTAAATTAAAACCATGAGAGGCATACGGCTTATCGAAATCTGAAGTAGATTTGAGAAAACTGAATTAAAATAGTTTGTAAGTTAAATCAGTTTACTGAGATTGCACATCTATCAGGACTAAGAGTTAAATAAGTGGGATATTAACTTCAAAAAAGAGTAAATTTTTACGGACCTATACGATTTAAGTCATAAACAGCATAAAAATCAGGATTCGTAGGCTTCACGGGAGCCAAAGAATGTGGCAATGGCTTAAGTAGAAAACCTCCATATGTCTATGCAATAGGAAGAGTACATTATAATAAATGAAAATTGAAATATGTGCGTTGTAGTAATGAGTACTTCGTGTGATCTATAATCCGTTCAGTAAGCTTTATTTTTTGAAATTAAAAGCAGTTACTTTTGATCAGTTGTAATACACTAAGATGAAGAATTACCTTATTGTTAGATATATCAACAAAGATTTTGCTTGTGGTTGCTAGAGGACATACAGAAGGGATAGCCTTAGAAAAAAGGTTTTCTAGATTCCAGTCTGAAAGAAGAAAAGTTTCCGTCTATTAACTTAAGGAGTAGCTCAATACGCAGTGGTTCTTGTAACATAAAAGTATTTCGTAATGATCACATCATTTTAAATATTGTAGATTGAATAAGATCTGTGAGAAACTTCAAAATATGAAGTTGTACCTCTTGATCCGGAATGAATGATTGGATTGAAAACTAGAGACAGGGTTTGCTTTAATTCTACGCCAGAAGATTTACAATCTTTAGTCTATAAGTTAGGGGGATAATTTTAAGCAACACATTTCAGAATTAGCATAATCCATTATGCAAAGTACATCTTTCTACATAAATATGTGATCATTCCAATTTACCTTGCAAAAAGGCCGAACATGAACGCCCATCGAATGATAGTTAACATTATATAGAGCTAAAGAATGGAATAAGACTGATAATCCTGCCTATAATTTTAATGAGTTTATAAGTCATTTCTAAGTGTAAGATCAAAATGAAGGCTTTCAATTCTAGTGGTAGCAGCTATTACAAAACTTGAAGCTTATTAAATTTTAAACTATAATCAGGACAAAGCTCTGTGATCGCACATAAAGATGATCATACCATAATTGTCATTTACCTTTGCATCACATGGTAATAGTTTCTTCCAAGGTGTAAGATTTTCCGTACATATTGTTTCACGCGTTAATACAGCGTATCTCAATCTGGAAGAGTTCAAGTTCTTTTCTATTTTTTTCGTAAGCAAAGCGTGTATATTTTTATTGAATAATAAATCATAGTAATGCCACATTTAATATCTGTTGAGCAAATATTCAGTACTCATGACAAGACTGAATGATACTGGTGCAATTTCCTGTCAGTACTATAGTGTAATACGTATGGTAAATACAGGTAAATTTGACATCAAAACAACACAATATAATTCAGTGGCAATGATTTAACCTACCACTGCTTGCTCCTTCAGGTCGAAAACTCCATGCTGGACTGACCGTAGTAGTAGAGTCAATAAAGTTCAGTGAAGCACAGAATAGACCAGATAAAGCATTTGTTAATCCAGACCAAGCTGAGTCAATACTAAAATTTTAATAGATTATAAGGTAATGATGAAATATTTAATATAGTAGAGCGTCATATTCCAAAACATTGCATTCCTAAAGATTACAAACTATACTATAGCACGCTGTGGTTATGTTGTTATCTCTCAGTTACTTTTTGATTGATGTATAAATATATATAATGTTACGTGACAAAAAAAACGCATTTTGAGTAACATAATTATTGCAACAATCAATTTTATTGGTTCTATAATATAGTAGCAGCATGAAGGAAATAAATTATTGCGTAGGATTCATTAAACACGATATTTCTAATCGAGATTGTTATGAAAATGCATTGTTCTTATACTATATCGAGATATAAGAGTACTATTACTACGCAATACGCGTAAAAGAAATTATAAAATATACCGTTACCTTTGCGACATATTGGCCGCGAACCAAACACTCAGCTCTGCTCCAGGAGGTGAAGACAGTATTGGATAGCCCCACCAGTTGTGCCTCCACAATCCTTGGGTTAGTGAAAAATGTAGTTCCTCTACATCATAGCGACTCAAAATTTGTCCGAGAGGCTTGGGAAATAAGTTAAAATGTTTAACTATAAAGGAAAGAGAAGAAATGATATATTGGAGTTTTATTACACATATGGTTTCGATTTGATAGTAAGTATCAATTTTACGTTAGCTAAGTTGATGCTAGAAAGACCAGAAAAAAAAGCAATTATTACTATTTATTGTTGTTTGCAGAGGCTGCAGTACTGTAGTTACTTTCTAAATGTAATGTTGACTGCGGATTTACATCATTGCATTTGAAGCTAAGAATTTTAAGCGAGTGTATGATGGATGCATTACGCTACAAATGATGCATATTCAGGCAGGGAAAGGTCTGAATTGTAATTTTTAAGGTACAACATTTATTTATCTTCTTTCTTTCTTTAAATAATTACTGTATGTGTTTTAAAATTGAAGAGTAGGACAGAAGTGAATGATGATTCTATATCTTCTTCTTAACCTTTGGTACCTCTGAATCTATGTGCAAAGTCAAGTTTTCAGTAGCTATTTACGATTGCTAGTAAATTATTGTTTACTATGTGTAGAGAACTATAAAGGAAGAATCAACATTATAAATCGTACGCTATCATGATGAACTGTCATGTCTTCTTCACGTATTATAGTATACATCATATGAAGGAGATTAAGACACTTACTGTACAGCATGCAGACTACAGAGCATCAAAACTGAGGTTAACTTGACACAATGATTTCATTACAGTCGGTTTTGTAGTGTACTACTTACAAGCATCTTTATTAGCAATATCGACATGCCAATACGTAGTAAATTGAAAATGGGCATAAAGGTGACCAGTTGCCAATGGTTTCAAGACCAATTCTTCATGATAGTGATCATTTGAGGTTATACTATCAACCAGCATAAACTGGCTTGTAAACTGTAGTATAACTAATATGATATACAAGGATAAGAAGTGCTTTCTTTGCATCCTATTATTTGTTGAGGGCTTACAATTGCTTCAGTTTCAACGCCAATATCAATTTTGGCAGTCCAATATTGCCATTGCTTTCACCTCTGTAGTTGCAGTGCTTCTTCTGTAACTGTCTAGTGTCGAGCCTTTCATCCATACAGGTAGGGTAAAGAAACCTCCATCTTTCCTACAGTACAGTACTACAGTACTGTACAGTAGGTGACTGGGTCTCGCAGTTGATAGTTGAAACTGTAGCCCCTGACAGTACAGTACTGTACAGTACTGTACTGCACACTGTACGGCTGTATTCATACTGTACACTGTACACTGCACTCTACAGTGACGCACAGTACAGTGTACAGTGTACAGGCAGTAAGTATATACTGTAGCGCTGTACTGTACACTGTACAGTACAGTACTGCACACTGTACTGTATGACTGTATTAGTACTGTACACTGTACAGAACTGTGCGCGTGCAGTACCGTACCGTGTACTGTACAGTGTACAATCACAAAAGCTATACTGTACACTGTACTGTACTGTACAGTACTTCATCACAAAACACCAGTCGGAGTCGGAGTTCGGAGTGACACTTGACTCGGATGCAATATTCAGTATATTGTACTACAGTAAAGTAGCAAGCACTAACACTAGCACTTTAGTAACCAACTTGATTACAAGGGCAACGCACCTGTCAACACCCCAGTGCACAACAGTACAGTACAGTACTGTACAGTTCACTCAGTGTACTGTACTGTACAGTACACCAGTAGATAGATCTTCATGCTTTGGTCTGGTCTAAGCATACTGTACAGTACAGTACCATATCGTACAGTGCACAGTGGATAGTACTCCGGAACTACAGTACAATACCTTCTAGCAGCCACATTGCCAACACTAGCTTGCAAAAGCATAGAAGATCATAGTCTTGGCAACCTGCGCTACTTTTTTTTAGCCAATCAGTGTTCGCCTGCCTCCGATCAGGTCCTCAAAATTGCCTTCATTAATAATTCATGAAGAACTAAGGAAAGAGTATAAATAGGTAGTTTGCGCGCAGTTTGAAACTTAATCGTACTCGTTCTAGTACAAGTGCAACAATTTCAATTCTTCATTATGAGTGGACGTGGTAAAGGAGGCAAAGGTCTTGGAAAGGGAGGCGCAAAGCGTCACCGAAAAATCTTAAGAGATAACATCCAAGGTATCACCAAACCAGCAATTCGTCGTTTGGCTCGCCGTGGTGGTGTTAAGCGTATCTCTGGTTTAATCTACGAGGAAACTCGAGGTGTCCTCAAAGTTTTCTTGGAAAACGTAATTCGCGATGCTGTTACTTACACCGAGCACGCCAAGAGAAAGACTGTCACCGCTATGGATGTCGTCTATGCTTTGAAACGCCAAGGACGTACCTTGTATGGCTTTGGTGGTTAAATTTCTTCAACCGTCAATGCATTTTAATATAAACTCAAAAACCACAACCCAAAATTTTAATCTAAAAATTGAGTAATCAATTCAACGGCTTTTTTTAAAGCCACAATCATTTCAAAAAAGAATTGACTGAAATCAATCAACCTTGATTCTGTTTTAATTCATTGACTTTGCTGCGGTCATGATTAGTCTACAATAAATGTTATATAGCTTTTTGAGTACTGTACAGTATTTTACTGTACTTCTACGATGGAAGTCTGCAACTCTTAAAGGTGTATGCAACAATGCTAAAATCAAAATCTTGATAGTCTCCGTTACTAGAGTGTACAGTATAATGTACATCAAGATGGCTGAATGTTTTTATGCATATTGTGAAAGTTGGAAGACTTTGTTACAACTTCAAGCTGTAAAGAAATAATAACTAAAGTGAAGTTTTATGCAGCGATGTACTTTTTTACTGCATTGAATATTTAGAGTCCTGTACAGTACTGTACTGTATAAATAAATATGGCATATATCGTTATAGATCAATTAAAAAATATATATTTATTACAAACTTTTGCACGCGATTCGGCAATGTTTATCCAGAACTCGATAGTTACTATATTCGTATGTAAAAAGGCTGTAAAAATTTTAAACCAATGAAATAAAGACCTGACGATGTACTGTATACTGACTGTACTGTACTGTACGTATAATAATGTTGTAAACAGCGAACAAAAATCATTAGCTACTTATAATCTACAAACTTAGCAAAGGCTGTAACATTATGATTGAAGTAATTACGGCTTGATCACTCCCACGATACTTGCATTCAATGAATGAATGTAATTGCGACATCGCATAAACTTACATAATCTTTCTAGTATTCATAACTACTGTACGTAAAACGTGATCTCATAAAAACGAGTTTCTAACGCTATAAATACATTGCATACCAATAAATTTATACAAATCAGCAGTTGCTTGTTACAGTATTTGTTACGATAGGTTATAAGTATAAATATATTAGCATAGCACGATCTTTGGCAAGCTTGCATACGTACATTTTATACGTATTCATGTTTATAATTAATTAATTAGCAGGTTCGTAAATTCGCTTATAAAGAGAAGCCAATTCAGAATCCGCAGGCTATATATCTATTCTGTAGTCAAGTTTGTTTGTAGGTAAGGCTAGTGATAAAGTCCAGTACTGAGTACTGTGCTACGACCGCGACCAACGTTGGGGCTATTTTGCTCGGCCATTTTGAGTAGCACAATTGGCTTTAGTCCATTTCATATCATCTGCACGAGGTGCGACGCCAGTTAGCTTTTCAATAATGTTCTCTAGCTTATTCCAAAATCCTATAACTTCTAATGGATAGTTAAGCCATCCCGTTGTTATGCAATAATAAGTATCGTGAGGAGCCACATGGTGAATTTTATGGTGTTGTCGAGGTAAAATTACGTGGTGGTTTTGCAGCCATTCAACCAATGGCGGTAAACCGTAATACGAATGAGCCCACTTATGAATTTGATTTGTAAATGCTACAAAGAGGGTCACGGCAAGGATAAGATATTCAAGTGTTATCCAGTCCATCGCTACGTTGGAGTCTTGATAATAAAATCTGTAGAACTGATTCGATAATACTAAAGCAGAAGTGAGAAAATTATCTCCATTTGTTTCCACAAAATCGTGTCGGGTGATAGCTGTTGCATCCACATGATGTTCTCGGAAGCCGCGAATTAAAGCCTGATGTGATAGTAATATTAGTATTTTTCAATAAACTAACCTACCCAAAATAATGAATTAGTGTTGATAGCTACACTTACGTGTCCGATTACTGGCAAGTCGATAGAGCCCCAGGTATCGCATCCCCAGTGGACTGCTCCAGAGGCAAAATCAGCAACTAAAATTCCGCTTACTATCAAGATCATAATCATAAGACTGAATTAAGTGATTTCACAATACAGTCATGACGCAATTCATGATAACACTATTTATCAATGTTTGCGGCAATGACCAAGGAATCAGGATACAGTGTTAAAGAGGAAAATTGAATATTCATACGCTGGTGATCATAGGTACCAACGCGCACTATTGTTACTAACGGATTTTACTATTATCATGCTCTGCTCCAGGAAGAATCATTGACTTACATATTCCAATAACGAGGCTTCCAAAATGATTCCATTGGAAATGCTTAAATAAGTAGGCTACGTTTATACTCCAAAGTATAAAAAACACAGCAATTGATAATATTTCCTGTGTTCTTTTAACTAATTACAAAAATAATAGAGATGTCAACGATACTTAATAGAATTAATAATGTTAATAGCAATTTTATGATTACGCATTAAGTAATAGTGTTGTCATGATTACGATCTATGTGTCAGTAATTTACAGTTCAATTGACGTACTGTATATTTATCAGTTATCCGTGTACTGTATTTGGAATTTTCTCAGCCTTCTCAATACGCTGGTATATTTAACTTACACGTAGCTACTACAGTATAGTGTATTGCTTTAAACTAGATTTAACGCAATGGGTATTCATTAATCAATTGATAAACAGAAATCACTGCAGGCAAAAGTGTCAGTATACAGTACATAAAATTGGAAAAAGTATTTAGCACGTATTAAGAATAAAATTACTACAGTATTTTAAATCTCAACTCTTAGCTCTCTACTGAATTGTCAAGCATGTCAAAAATAAATTTCAGCAGTTTATTTTTGCTTATTGCTAATGATTAATTAAATAATAATTAATGAAGGTTATATAGGGGGATATAAATTTGAAGAATCCATTGTGACTAAACTTTATTCGGAAGAGGCTATTCTGTACACTGTACAGAACTGTATTTGGTTAGATTATTAATCAATGATATCATCAGATCTATCCTTCAGCGTTGTTCCCAATTAAATGTTGAATGTTATATATAACATACTTAATGTACAAAATTTTTAACTCTTGTATGCTGTACTAAGCTTACAAAGTACACTAAATTGCGTAATCGGCGTCATTAATGAAATTCTAGCTTTTACGCTGAACAACTACATCATTTAGGAATATTCTATCCGTATTCTGTTAAGTTATTTTACTGACTATTCTATCCAATCATTTCGTTAAAATATGGAACCAATAGGTTCGCATGCATGTAGTCTCCTTCCAAGACACAAGCATGTTGATTTTCAATATAGATGGAATCCAGTAGTTGCTCAAATTCATGCTTCAAGCCAATCCTCGGTACAGGACAGTATTATTATTATTATTATTATTATAATCAACAAACGTATCAGGTAATGTTAGTACCGGTGTACGTCACAGCTGTTCATACTAGTGCACACAAAGTCATACACTCCATTGTACAGTATAAGAGCATGGTCACGCCACTTACAGGGTCACGTATTAATATACAATTAATGTGCTGTACAGGACTGATCTAAAGACGTGAAAGCGAAAATGGGTATGGAACTGGAAATTTGACATGTATGGCAATTTGCAAATAGTACATTGCTGTGCCCACTTTTAAACTTACGATACAGTGCTTATAATACTGTTTTACCGCCTATATCCAATGCATCAATAATGGAAAGCCTTACAGACATAATCATTGTACGCGGTTCAAGAAGTTGCATACGTAAAGTACATTATATACAGAACAGTAAACGTTGATGAGGTTCATTAGATTGAAATAGCGTTGTAGGACCAATGTTGATCCTAGTTCTACTATACGCAAGATCGTTCTTGGTATAGGATAATGGGTAGGGAAATTGCACGTTTTATATTCAATCATCATTGCCATTATCCGAATTACAGGTCTATTTCCTTACTGTTCCATCATTGGAAATGGATCACTCGCTAATGTCTTGTGATCCAATATGGGCCCTTTTATTCATTTGCCTTTGTTTTGTGAATCATCTCATCGCTAAATATGGCATGTTCATTAAAATATTGTATATCGAACAAAAAAATGTTTCAGGCTCATAAAAAAAGGTATACTAGATATCTTCACAGTTCATAGCAGTTCAAATTGCAGCTTTAACTAGCTTGACTAATTACCTACTGTAATGTAAGAAGTTCTTAGAACTGATCGATCGCAGTTATTAACAGTCAGTGTAAACGGATAACGTACACAACCATACATACAGTACATTCTTATATCATAGTTCATGATTGGGCTACTTACAAGGTGCGCTGCCTCGAGCAAGTTGAGTTTTAACACCTTTATTTTCCTGCCGTTTGATATATTTGGTGGAAGTCATTGATCAAGCTAAATTGATTTAATCTTGAACGTAAGAATGATAACTCCAATTTTGTTGAGGTTCCAGTGAATCATCACCATTCCTCTGCTAATTTATGAATAGGCAAGACGAAACCAACGCAGTTTTAAAAGTGTGTACGAGCCTACTGTATCAGTAACAGTACCATGTACAGAGTACAGTACTAATACAGTGTACAGTATTACACTGTACTGTACTGTACAGTACTGGATACTGTAAGCGGAAATACTGTAGACTCCTCATGGCCCTCGTCTGAACTTTTCTCAGACCGTCAGGTCTATTCTCAGGTCTAATAGAGGTCTTGACGGTCTAGTCTGGTCATGGTCTGGTACGGTATATCCAGGCTGTACTGTATAGTCTGTATTATCGACATTTCGATCCAAATCGGGAATCTACCTTGAGCCGGTACCGGTACCACATTCCGACAACACAACACAAGAAATGATAACAAACCCATTTGGGCCTTGACGTTCTGGAGCAGTTGCAATAGTGTTTGTTTACTATCTAGATGTTAGTCTGTCATGGTTGTAGTTTGATCGAGAACTACTGATAGCAGTGCTACAATATTGTAGGGTATTTCATATCTTAAGGTTAAGGATGCCATTTTCTGTAGACTTTCCAATTCCACCATTTGTAAAACCCCGGTGTGGTCATGTCGCTGTATATTATAAAGAACGAGTCATACTTTGGGGAGGTTATTATAATGACGTAAGTGTTGCATAATTGAATTAGCTGCTGTAATGAGTTAGGTTAAAGTTTCCAAGGAGTATTTAGTAATTGTAAGTTATATGTAATGTGGAACTACGCTGAAATGGACTATTGATGGCTTTCAATTGAAAGTGTTAATGGTTGTAATGTAGAAATTGGCTCCACTTTTTGTCCACTTTTCTCATAGCCGACTGTACAGTACAGTATACTGTACTGTACACTCTGCAGTATACAAGTATACAAAACCGAAAAACACTATCGACGTTAATATTATTATGCAGTATTTGGAATTATCACTTCAGAATACTTTTTCCTTATAGTTTCCTGTCAGACTTGCACGCGGTATGAGTGAGATTTCGAACGTTTGTAGGTTTGTACGATACTACAATGAATATTGAAGTCAGTAAAGAATAGAAATACAACAAGCAATAAGAATGAGCGAAAGAAATAGTGCCTTGTTGGGATTACTTCTATTATACTATATAAGATCCCTTTTACCAGGACAGTAATGCTGCTGATGTATTAGCCAAGTATGCATCTGTTGATGCTGTACAATAGTTTCATAACTGAGATAATGGATGGGAATGATCCTTCATTAATCCTATCATACATAATACAATTATACGCGTATGCAATGTACGTGATAAGTTAAGTGATGATTGATCAAGGACGATAAGTGATATCGTTATTTACTGCACGAGTATGTGATGCACTTTAGATTTGTAAGTATACCATAGCAAGTACAGTTGATTGTAGGTTTAGTTCTAATCTTAATGTTTATTTCGTTTCAGCCAACCACCAATCGTGAATCATACATTAATTGTGATCAATTAGACATCTACAATCCATATACGGGGGAATGGTTAGTGCTTAAATCTTTTATGCACAAACAATAATGTCATCGCGAAATCTATACACGCATATGCTGCTGCATATAACGTGTTGATGGCTTGGTGCATGGGATAGATAAAAATGTTAATTATAAGTATTTAGCTCACATCTATGTGTTTAGTTGGATGCAAAAAGAATTGAAGTGCTTACGCTTGTGTGATTTATAAGGAAAACTAAAAGACTGACGGGTACTTTGCCTAGTAACAACTGTTGCTCAGTTGGATGTGTGTTAAATGGTTGCCTGTACGTTTTTGGGGGAGAGGTGAATAATTGCACAAGCTCAAAAGTATGTTGATATTACAATAACTGTCATTCTTTAAAATACTGTAATAACGTACTCGGTAGTATCGTATATTGATTTTAACGATAATTAGTATGGGTGTATGCCTCTAGTATCATGGTACTAACTGTAGCTCCAATACTCTTAGTTATATGCCATTGATTTAAAGACATTCCTGGTCAAACTGCTAAGCACTTCGGGGGATATTCCATCTCCACGTAATAAACTATGTTGTTGGAGAGAAGGAAACAAGTAAGTTCCTTGCTGTGTACCAATTACAATATATATTATTTGATCAAACAGTTTAATAAAATTTTACAAATTTTAGGATGTATGTATTTGGTGGATACTGCAACATGCGAGATTATGTCCATGAAAATGGACCTTATAAGATTGTTAAGGATACCTTTTCGTACAGAGTAGATCTATTTGAAAATGTATGGACAAGTATTGATACATACTTTCGTAGAGATGCGATAATCCTCATAACGAACTTAAAGACTTAAATTTTCAATTCCAGCTCTCAAGCTGTTACGGTTGGAGTAATGAGTTATACCAATTTGATACAGTTCGAAACGAATGGAGTTTAGTTCATACGGACATAAAGGTAGCATTTATTATTTATTGTACCATTAATATTTTTGGATTTGAAGAACTAAAATTTGCACCTTATGGTTCAATCTCACTACGTTTAATAGTTGATTATATGATTATCGGCAATACCTGTTTTGCAATTTATTAGGATTTACCGGTACCAAGGGCAGCTCATAGTTGTGTAAAGATTGGGAAAAAGGTTTATATCTTTGGTGGTAGATTTCAGGTATCTATAATTAATAAGAGTGATGTTTTTAATCAAGTGGGTCTAGTGATAACCAAGATACATTATGTACATTTTACCATACTAGGAACGGCGTAGGAATGATTTATTTTGTTTGGATATGCAATCATTAACATGGAAAACTCTCAAACCGTACGTCTTAATTACTCTAAGCTATTAATAGTACTGTGCAATCTTGAATGTATAATTTACTGATATCACAGCCAAACAATCAGTAAAGCTGGTAGCTGTGTTACAACAGGGACACACAGGATTGTGAAAATGAACCAGTTGGACGGTCATGGCATACGCTCTCACCCATTAATCGTGATAAGTTACTGCTCTATGGTGGTTTAGGATCAAGTGGGGAGCTTTTAGGTTAGTTATTGTTTGAGTACAATTAAGATGACTGAAGTACTTGTTATATAAATATTCGACGATGTTTCTCGAATATGCCGGTCTAGGTTACTGTAGATAAAGTAATCGTTTTCGCGCTAACTACATATTCATAATACAATAATTTTTTTAATAATATTTGCGACTTAATGGAACAGAAAATGATGCTTGGATCATCGACTTTTCTGACACAATATTGAAATTCAGAAATTTACGTCCTTCCTTAGAGCAGTCTGGGTAAATAAATCTTAATAATGGTATACATAAGCAGTATATAACGACTGCATGTACAATGTACACTAGTTACTAGATTAAATGTTGAAGTCATTGAGAACATCACTGGATATCTTATCCGTAGAAAAAGTTTTGAATTTTAGTTTTAGAACCCTCAATCGACTCTGATAGCCCAATACTGACTTTTATCGCATTTCAGGAGTCTATTTTTGTGTACATAACTAATATGTAGCTGATTAATGTTGATAGTTTAACAACTGAAGAAAAAAATCGGCTTTGGCATGGTGCCACGCATACTTCTAACATAGGAGAAGTACATATATCTGGAGGATATGCTGATACAATATTTCGATCTCGTCCACCACTAAGTAGAAATGTTTTAACTTTCCGTGATAGGCCTTTGCCTCTTTACAAGTGAGTGTTAACTGCTGATTTCTATTGTTCTTCATTGTAATTATACCATTGATATTACTTATACCTATACTAATGGTTTTGCAGCTGATAGGTAGACTGATAAAAAATCTTATTTCTTTGTAACAGATTATGTCTAATTAAGATTATGAGGCAATTGAAGTTTTATGAGCCAGTAATTAAGAGTCGTGGTGATGGGGAATTGATGGATTTAATTCGTGGCATATAACAAATCTAAATTTTCGGTTATAGTTATTTTTATATCTTTTAATTATCACATTACTAGTGCTTATGAGTATATAGTACGGAATGTGGGTTGAAAGTTTGTTTGTAATAACTTAATAACTTAATTTTAAGTAAGAGCTGCATTTTTGAGATGGCCAATCGATATTTGTATTGGTGGTAGTATTTTGTCATTACGTATGTATAAACTGTTCCACTTGTCAGACAATTATTTATATGCTTTCGTAGTTTATGTACTTATTACAGAATTGTGAAATGGCATAACGATATATTAAACCGATGGAGAATTGCATATCAGCCATATCATTTGTCAGAAATCCTGGTCAAGGGGTTATCTGGAATTATGGTCAAATTGATACTTTGAAGCCTCACAATACCGTAAGAAATATAACGTGGTTGCAAATCACTTATGCCCGTAGTAATATTTTCGGATAAAAAAATAGGCTATACGGTAGATAGCAGTGTATTGCATCAGATAGCCTTACAGCGTAATCTTTGTTGATTCACAGTATGCTATACGTATACTAATGGATCTCTGTAGTCTGTATGTTGATTTGTAAACAACTAGCACGGAGAATGCGTAGTCGCTTGACGCTAGTAAGATATCAAACATTGTGCAGCGCAGGTGCTCGCGTTCAGTGTTTGCTACATTGAATGAATAGCTATTAAAATTTGGCGAGAAATGTTGCAATCGATGAACTTTATTTAAAATTTGAAGTGATGGAACCATCAAATTTTAAATTTACTATTAATAAAGTTATTTGAGCTTTAATTGCATTGGTATAATCTTCATGGCAATAGTAAGGTAACGTTGTAAAGTGGATATGTACAATGCAGATGAAATCACCTTTGATGTATATTATACAGTATATCTGCTATATATTTTTAATTATACGATTACTGTATATGTACGTCTAGCCTATGGGAATCAATAAAGATAAAGAAATCCATAGATATTGAATGGAATAAAGGGAAGTCCGTCTCCTTTTTGCTAATCACTTTTACACAAGTATTAACGCAATAACTTGAGCTTAGATAACCCTTTATTACGAATTCGATTATAGTAATATTATTACAGTAGTCTCAAAGTCTACTAGTTCTACTTCTGTAAGTTAGACGACAGAACGATAACATCTATGTGAAGGCTACTTCGCTACAAATATACTGAATATATATCTGCTATATATCTTTAATTCTACGATTACTATATATGTACGTCTACCCCATGGGAATAAATATAGATGAAGAAATCTATAGACAGATTTTAAACAAAGTCTACTAGTTCTACTACTGTAAGTTAGACGACAGAACGATAACATCTATGTGAAGGCTACTTCGCTACAAATATACTGTATATATGTATATCTGCTATATATCTTTAATTCTACGATACGTCTACCCCATGGGAATAAATATAGTTGAAGAAATCTATAGACAGATTTTAAACACAGGTAGTAACAGTGTTGTACAGTGTACAGTGTACAGTACTGCTCAATTGTACTGTACTCTACTGTACTGTACTCGGGGCACGGTCAATGACTACTAGTGTACAGTATGAAACATTGGTACCAAATCATATGAATGGAAAGACGGGTTAAAGAAGGTTTTCCTTGGGGATCCCTGGTACTGTACTGTACCAGATAGCCAGTTCTCTTCTAGTGTATGACTGTCAATTCGCCATCAGTAATTTTGCTGCAGTGCATTAGATGAGTTTTGGTTGGAAATTGGTTGTGATTAATCCTCAAAGTTGGTCTTACGAAAGGTAGAAATAAAGCAGTTTGGCAATGGAAAAGAAAAGTGACGATAGCAGGGCATGGAGACTGTTTATTGGGAACATGGACAGGCGTTTGACTGAGTAAGTATATAGAAAATCACCTTGCAGGAGATGCGGTGAAAATGCAACACTACTAAAGTATTCTGTACTGTAATTGATGTCAACATAAATGTAAATTAAGCACTAGACTTTTCGTCAATCGTTAGCTTTGAATGCGAATAACTCTATTAGAGATAGTGAGTTGTTCATCAGCAGACAATGATTGGCTTGTGCAACTATAGAGAGTTAAATTTAAAGTAGAAACTGACACAGAACATCCAATGTGCAACGGAATATTGTGATCACTACAGTACTTAGAAACACCTACTAGCAAATTTGTCGTAGTATTATTCGTGATGAGTAGTCAAGATTAGAATAGCGTGCAAGTATGGTAAGATTAACATATTACCTTAAGCCATACTCGTTTACAATTTATTTGTACACAAAGTCATCCCCTGATTGGGATCGCAAAGTAGAGTACAGGGAAAAGTAATCGTAATCAATTGATTTTATAAAATGTCTTTATTATTGAGTAGAACCGTTAGTAATCATGCTACATACTATGCGCTTATATATTATACTAGTGAAATAGTGTAATTACAAAATTGCAATGAATTGATAAGTGGAATACATTTCCAATTTCGGTTTTGCTCAACAGTGCCGATATACTAAAATTAACCTCCAAATACGGAAAAATAAAAGCCGTTTCTGAAAGGATTCCAAAAACCGGACCCAAGAAAGGGAGGCGATTGAATTATTGCTTTGTGGATTATGAATCGGAAGAGGTTATTTTTAAATAAATTCTTGAGTCGTATTTTATGGTATGTTATATGATTGTGATAACAGTTAGAATTTCAATGGCTATGTTTTATTTCTTAATTAAGGCTGCTGACAAGGCTAGGATCAGTTTGAACGGGAAAATCATTGGATTCAAGATTTTACAAGTTCGATGGGCTAGGCAATCTGGCTATCCAGAACTAACTATGATTACGGGTACCGGCAAACGAAAGTATGATTGTAATGAAGGCAATAGGGTAGCTTCAATATCACGAAATTTAAGGTGAGATTTTAACGTAGGGCTAAGAAACGAGACCACTACGCAGTACTGTATAGTTTTGTTGTTGATTGACTGGAGTTTGCGTAACGATTTTGAAACTTGTACTGTATAGTATGTACGTTGGCAATTGAAAAGTTCTGACGCTACGTCTTTGATTATATTACTTTTCTAAATGTTTCATTTATGGCTAATAGTGGATTATACTAAAGTGCTACGTCTGCGTAATACATAAATCTGATTAAATTATCGCATCTACTTATAGATAATCAGTAAATATCGTGAAAACTCTAATTCTGCAACCAGTACTAGTAGTTCCTCTGTTGTAATTCGTTCTTTTTAATTTATTTTATATGGGTTCCGTGCTGCAGGGCTACTACTACAATGGTCGAAGTCATCCAGAAAAAGTTAAAGTCTATGGAAAAAAAAGGATAAAAGATATTTCCTCATACTAACTTCCACATGAATAACCTAATCAAATTTTTGTAAATATCTACATCAAGTGTAATATATCAAACGTTTTTGGCTTATTTTAGTTGTCATTCACATCGTTTATTTCTACTTCGATATTATGCAGTATGATAGCATAACTAGTGAATAGTCGTGCCTTTAATAAGAAGGAATGACAAAGTAATCTATGTACTTACTGTAAGGTATGGATATGAGAAGAAGTCGTCGTTGTCAATAATGCTTACGTATTGTAGTAAGGCGTAATGTTATAAATATACACCAATTCTGATATAAACTATCTTATTGACAATATTACAGAAATGGACATGTTTCCCACTTCATAGTTTACATGTATGCGTGCTAATTAGAGTCCTTGCAATTAACCGTGATGACCGACTTCTGAACGTCGGTGTTAGATCATTTTAACAGCAACGTATTATTTACCGACATTTTTAATTATAAGAAGACATTCATATTGATATGGACACATCTTGATATATGTATTTACACATTTAAAGTGCAAGCCTTTTATCCTAAAGATAGAAAAATATTTATTTTATTGTACCAAACGATTTGAGTTACTTAATTTTATAGTATAAATAATCGTTATCAGTTTAATTTTCGTTTCTAGATTCTGTCACGACGTTCAACATTTTTATAACGTTATAATAATGTAATAAAAGCGATACATTTTAAACTAAAACTATACTTTGCTACGAAGAATGGTTTAAGATTTACAATCCAAAAGTTAGTACAGTGTAGACTCAACGATACATGGAATGTATTAACAATCTTGCATCTGAGTTGTGTTGTACTTTATGCGAAGTGAAGGCTTACAACATATCTGATCTTGAATTACTTCAACATGGAAAGCAATGCAGTAAATAATGCTAATAGTAATAATGTATAGGATTAGATAAACTGTAGGATATAAGAAATTACCTTAAAAAATAGTTACGTTAAACTCACTCAAAGTGAACTGAAAATCAGTATAATTTTCGTACATCTCACTCTCAGTTAAGTCTAAGAATAGAAAGAAGCATATTTTGGCACTATCACACATTTGCTAAACTATTAATTATTCATTATTTGTTGTGCAAACGCTAATGCTATATACTTGCAAATATATACGTATATATAATAGTAAATTTACAGCTTTTATACAGGATGATGAAAGTAGAATAACCAGGCTTGCCGGCGTATCGGAAGTTGGATAATAGTTTAATCACATGAGTATTTCAAAAGCAGTGTCATGTATGAAGGATTGATCTTAAGGCAAAGTTGACTATGCCCTTGTTTGACCTTCTGATGTGGATTTTGGGCCATCCTTTAATTTATAAGTATCTCGCTTCAAGATACCTAGCAAGGCTTGAGAACTCTCTAGGATCTAATATATAAATATTTCGTATTAAAATTCATAAATTCCTCTACTAAATGTAGTTAAAGCCGGAAGTAGATACTACAGCATAGGGATCATCGTGAGACTATCAAACTAAGGCAATTGATTGACATAACAAAATGATAGTGTTACAGTATGATGAATACTAGAGACCCATAGAGACTTAGGTCTCTAGGGGTCTCTAATGAATACTATACAAAACTGCATAGACAACCATTTTGATATGTCATGTAACACTGAAACTTTAAAGTAACAACGCAGGATTGCTGTATTCGGCTAACTTACTTTCATGTAAGCCCCTTCAGTTTCAGCTATAGTCTTATCAAATTCATTTCTATTCGCCATTTTCTTTGCCAAACTTTCATTAATTTTAGCCAGTTTTTCGGTTAAAATTCTGATATCATTTTGTACTTTAGCTTTTTCTTCTTCTTCAGCTAAAATCTGGCGATGCAATTCATCACGTTTTGAGCAAAGATCTTCGATGCCTATCAGTTATTAAAATGATGGCAAAAATTATTTCATAAGTCGACCTTACAACCAACCGACTATTTTATAATATTGCACTTTGATGTAATCCGTCCGAATGATTGTATCGTTCAAAGAGGAGATAGTTTAATAATAGGGAAGAAATAGTAGGATAGCTAGGCAGGTGTACAGTACAACAATCGTTTTTCATTATATCTATCGACAGTAATTAAGTAGTGCTCGTAAGAGTTTACTTTAAAATGCTCTTTATAATAGTCTTTATGCTAAGAAGATGGCAAAATGCTCAACTGTGGATATCAAGGTTTCAGTAAAGCCAAACTAAATCGTATAAATACGAATTTGTTACTTCGTAGTTTTCATCGTATCTTTGAAACAGTATGCACTACTGGTGAGGGTATATTAAAAGCGTAATTTCGAGTATTTTTTCTAGGTATGTTATGGAGTATGTACGTATACAAGTCTGAGCCTTTCGTACCATTACTTTGTTTGTTGTACTGATTGATAGTCTAGAAATACTACGTTTAAGATAGAACATATACCACTGTAGCCTTAACCTTATTAGTGAATAAGAATGATTTACCCATTGAAAAATAATCACCATCGTAGTATCAGTAGCAAAGTAAAGACAACTTACATTTGACCAATTCGTTGTTGTATCCTTGTAAAGTAGCTCCTTGTTGTGCCATGTTTTCTAGATTATGCAATATGATAATTATTTACTAATATAGCAAGTGAAACTCAAGTATCAGCTAATAGCTGCTGTATGATTGTTGTTTCAATACTGTACAAAACTTTTGATTATCGCGTAAACAGTCAAAATGGCGCCATTCTACATTCTTACTGCGTGACAATCTGTTACTTTTTATGAATAGTTACAGCTTATAAATTATAGTATATCATCAGTCGATGCAAAGACACAGTCATTATGCAATACTATAACATATTCACTGTAATTACCTACAAGCTGTACCATGTAACTTATATTAATGATAAAATCAATGATAAACCACTTTACTTTACTTGTTATTGATAAATACGGATGGTAAGTAAGACCGATATTTGCAGTCATATCAACTGATGATCACTAGGATAATTCAATTCTATCTATCTTTTAATAATTACTACGTAGTCTATTGTAGGCCGAGATGGACAGTCATTTAAACGTAAAGTAAGTCTTATTTATAATCTATTTGATGACTACGAACAAGATTAATTCACTTCTTGCTCATTTCTTCATGCTTATCCACTAAGTTGTACGACTTTCAATCTTGATGAAATCATGATAACTAAGTTAATCTAGATTATAATATACGCGTATCTTACCGATTTTGTAGAACTTTTCGCTAGTCTTTCACACGCTCAAGTTATTTTAATTGGGTATAGAGTTGTTTTTAATGGATTGTATTCAAAGTTGCTTGAAGATTGGGAAAATAAGGAAATTCTTAATGCACCTTTGAAGTCAATGCAGTCTGGCTATTCGGAATCTAGTGACCGTCAGTAGTCCGGTGTCCGCGCGTCCGAGAATATGGCTAGTCTACTACTCATGACGCATAGAACGCAGTGGTCGTTATTATAGACTTTAGCTCGCAGCGAGTAGTGACACAGAGTATTTATTTTGGTTGCCCGCCAACGGTTGCTAAGATACAGCGAGAACTGAGCGCCGCCAGGCCCATCCTCTGATTCCTGCCCTGTCTACTGTAGCCTGTATTAGTTTGTGAAGAGTTGTTGATGGATACTGTATCATGCAGCTAGCATTCGCTCATATAAATACTATCAATTATGCTAGACCAGAGACCGTTTACGTTTGATCTAGCTTAAGTCTACCTGGCAAATTATTATCCATACAGTACCATAAAGTATAACGGAACTGATTTCAATGACCAATCATAACTCTCTCCTTACTGTTATGCTAAGATAAAATATGGCTAGTAAAGCCAATAATTATAGCAAGGTAATATATTATCCCATTTAATCATTATAACTATATAGAAGCATAGATACGTAGAATATCTTATTTCTTATGTTAAATTGCGTACGGACGCAATTAGTAGTTTATATTGCAGATTCATATACTAGTGAATGAATTAGTAGTACGTGCAATTAGTTTGTCGACTAATTTATATTAGCACAGTTACTTTACTCACTTTATTGCACCAACTAAAAGTTAATGACAGCGATGCAATTTAAACTTTTAAAGATTGATAAGTTCTAATGACTTCCTAATTGATCGTTATAGGCAACCAACAATCGAAATTACAATTATTGTAAGTATTTATAATCTGCTACCGTAAGTCAGCGGCATATTTGTTAGATAAAATTAAACTGTAATTAGATATGATTGCATTAATAATTAAAGTAAACCTAATAAATGGATTTGCAACTGCAAAACTCTTGATTTTCCATCGATGATATATAAAGTACTTTCCTCCAATCATAATCTGATCAGTTTCCTCGTCCATTTTATACATTAATTAATATTAGGTAGTCTGTATTACGTACTTAAAAAGTTCATCATGATGATATCACTTATTTTATTGTAAGTAAAGTTAACGCATATCATAATAAAAATATTAAAGCAGAATATCATTGGCACAATATAACTGAGCAATATAGTACAATACAGTACGTTTATTTATGCGATGTCGTTACTAATACTTGATGCTCTGATTACGTTGTATTTATTTAATTATTATGGCAGAAATATTATTCTACGTTATGATATTGTATATCTTAAATAGTTGCCAGGAGAATTTTTTGGTTAAGTAAACTTAACAAATCACCTACGAATTAGACCATTTATCAATTTAAACTCTTTACTCTATCTTGCTACTCATAAATGACACGGACCTTTAGCAAATCGATCATTCCAACGGAAAATCACGTATGTTATATTTATCACAGTACTTTGTTTAATTTTGTGACTAATATTGCAATATAATATTACTCTCGGACCCTTAAGCTTTATTCTGATTTTATTATAACAACAAAATACTTATAATTTTGTCATTGGTTGCAGGGATAATAGAACTATACGATTTAAATGCAATCTTCAAAATACAATTATTGACGTCCTAAGAGATAGGGGATGGACAGAGGTTAAAGAGTAAGTGAAATAAGATACTAGCCTCCGCTATTATTATATTAATATTACAACACCTGAACTTTATATACTTAAATTGATACCGCAGCTACAGTAGATTAATTAAAATTCAGTTTGACTTCATTATTAGAGTATCAGAATAGTCTATGGAGTTTACGTTCAATATCTCTTGCTAATAGTGCAAAAAATAAATACACTATTTCATAGTGAAAGTGATTGGGATTTTTACTGGTGTGACGTCGGATGGCTGCGGGAAAACTTTGACCACATGTTTATGGAAGAACATGTTAGAATTTGTCACTTTCGAAATCATTACGAGGTAAAATTAGACAATTCTGAAAAATACTGCACTACTAACACGCTATTACTTATATACTACAGTATTTAATTACCGTGAATCATTTATACTAACATGAATATATCCTTTGATCAACAAATTCGAAATCTGCTGCCTACGTTCAGTTAACAAGGAAAAATCTTATGGCCAAGAATTTGAAACGATTACGCAAGCAAATCGAGCGTGAACAGGGGAAAGTAGAAGCTACCAAGTATGAATTTTATTGAGAATTTAAATTTAAATTTTAGTAGTGTATTTCATATGCGGTAGCTAAACCTAAATTAATGTCTTCATTGCTCTGGCAATCCATAAAAGGTGTGATTTCTTTCCCACTACCTATGAGCTTCCTGTAAGCGAATTGATGCATTATCTATTATGAATAAAGTAGTAAATTTAGGTATTAGATAAGTGTATGCTAACTTTTTTATGTGGTCTTATCTACCGTTAGTCTGAATTTCATATCTTTGTTGAGGAATTTAAGCGAAATCCTGGATCGACCTGGATCATGAAGCCTGTAAGTTTCCATACCTAACTCTAGACTTATTATTATTTCGAAATATAGACAATTCCAAGTTCCGGAAATTATTACGGTTTACACAAAGTGGCATTAGTTCAATCTGATTTAATTTAGCGCTGTTGTCTAATAATAACTGCTACACCTATAAAGTATTTGAGATTAGTTAATCTTGAAAAATAAATTAGGTCGCAAAATCGCAAGGGAAGGGAATTTTCTTATTTAGGAAACTGACCGATATTCCTGATTGGTGTAAGGTAACACCGCGATATCAGATTTAATCTGCTGTTACCTTCGGATCAAGAAGAGCTGTTTCATATATTGCATGATTTAATTTTAAACTAGAAAAAAGGGATGGATGCGCCAGACACTTATATTGTACAAAGATATGTAGAGTCTCCTTATTTAATTGGAGGTATTTGAATAAAGAATAATATTACTAACATACGAATAATATATGAATACTTTCATAAATGCTACATTTATACTTAAAATACGTAATAATAATGACTTGATATTAAATGAATTACAATCCTAGGGAGAAAATTCGATATGAGAATCTATGTTCTTGTCACCACGGTAAAATGTTTGTTGTTATATATTTGCTGCAATTGTCATTGCTACTTAAAATTTTAAACTTTTTTTGACAACTGTTAAAGATATTATTCTAAGCCTGCTGACTTACATAAAAACGATAATTCATTTTTATTACACCTCAATCTAAACATATTATTGTTATTAGAACTGGCCTACAGGTAAAATAATTATGCTTTCTATTATATTGCAGTATATTCCGATTAAAGCCTACTTATATCGTGAAGGATTTGCAAGATTTTCCAATACGCGTTATAACTTAGAAAGCATAGAAGACTCTTGTATGTACAGTATATTGGCTTAGGGTATTATGCAGCTTGCTGTCTACAATGACAGTATGAAATTTCTCGGCTATATTTTGAAACAAGAACGTAGACAGTTAGCTTTATTGCATTAGGATTGTAATTTTGATATAATCTCTCATGATAGATATTCATCTAACAAATGTTGCGATTCAGAAAACTGCACCTGATTACGATTCAGAAAAGGTAGGTGGTTAAATCCTTAGAGCTAAAAGTACATTTTCCAGAGTGCTTTGCATGTATTGGTAGACATTCAATCCTTATGACTTAAAGGAAAGTAAACTCTTAAGCATTCTCTTATTTTTGCCTTTAAAGGGATGTAAATGGTCCCTGGATTCGCTTAGAAAATACTTAACGGCTAAACATGGCATTGAAAGCCTTGAAACACTGCTACAAGCAATTACTAACATTTTTATAAAGAGTTTGCAAAGCGTTCAGCGAGTTATTATCAACGACAAGCATTGCTTTGAATTATATGGATTCGATATTTTAATTGATGCTAATTTAAAGCCGTAAGTTAATCTAGAAATCATAGCTTTTGTCCACATACCTTATCAAGCTTCTAATTAGTTGTTCTAAAGATGACCAGTCAATAGAAGACTAACGTGGAGTTATCATTTCATGATGTTAGTTGGCTATTGGAAATTAATGCCTCGCCGTCTCTAACCGCGAGTAGTCAATCTGATTATGAGATGAAAGTTCGTCTATTGGAAGATGTACTAAATGTGGTTGATATGGAAAACAAGTAAATGACAAAAGATTGCAATTTTAAGCTAATGTTTTGTTTACGTATTATAGTGATACAGTAAGGAGTATTTATCGTGTCAATATATTTTATTCCATTCGTTACAGGCTAACGGGCAAGGAGAAAAGAGTTGGTGGGTTCGATTTAATTTGGGATGATGGACCAGTAACTAAAGAAGATGTGGGCTTCGATTCGATTTCGTCGTCGTCCCTATATACGTCTAATGTGTTTCTAGGTAATAACTGTCTATTTCATCAATGAAAGTAGTAACTATTACACCTTATGCTGTACTACACTAGTTGCACTTTATTGATGATTATTAATATATACAAAGGGTGTCTGAATGATCGCGAGCAACAACTAAAGCAAATGTACAAGCAACAACAGAATAAGGCTGCAGCTACTCAATCCAACAATTGATCCGTATTTTAAGTCTGCTACTATATCGGTGGTAAAAGTGATGTTAGAAATTGATGTTTAATTGAAACTGTAACATTTTTTTAACGTACAATTTGGCATATACCATAATCCTGACAACATCTTGCGGATATTCCAAAAGGTTAAAATTGTGATAGCAATGAAACATTAGTACTGTATCATAGGATAATATTATTCTACCGTACACATTATACACATACTGTACGTACGTATTTGTAAGTTGTTTTTAACTATCTCTAACCTACTATGGGATATAAATAATACAATTAGCCGTTTTTCTTTAACCTATTATTATAACCGTGTTATTTTATTAATACTGTGTACAAAAGTAACAGATACATATCTTACATTTATTCATTCATAAATATTTTTAATCAAATTTGTAACATAAAGAAAGAATTCGAAATTTTGAATGTGAGTATAACATAGTAGCTTTAAATTATAGCTGCATTTCACAATTTAATATCTTATTGCTACCTAGAATGGAGATTACTGAGTAATGTTTTGTAGAAGAAATAGACATTATTTACAATAATTTGATATGATTAAAAGAAGACTTTCTGTAAAAGTAGTTTCCTCTTTCAATCTGATCGTACTAAGAAATTGGTGAGAAACTTACAATAAACAAAAAAATATCAATAGTCACAACTATTGTTTAATCGAAAGAAAAGTATAGTACAAATTATGTACAATACAAGTATTCCATGGCTGCTTCATCTGAGTAGATTTTCATGGTATTTGATCTGCTAATTACGTGCTTGAGTTACGTTCGAGAGTTCATCGCGACTTAAAGGTTTTAGATCGAATCCTTTACGTGGTTGTTTACCTACATGATCAAATAACGTATGAAAATGTTTAATTTTAAAACGTGAATAGTAGAATAGTATGCACGTATGACTATTTGCCGATATTTCCGTAGCTCGCCAAACATAGTTACGAAAAGAAATTAATAGTAGGTATTGATTATACAGATTTGGTACTTGTTAGCATCATATTTAAACAAGCAACAATAACAAGCTACCTTCCATTTCATATAGTTGTGCCATTTTAGGTTTCAAGTTCTCATGCAGTTTATTAATTTCGGCTTGAGTATTTTCTTGGCCTAAGTTTTTAAATGATATAGCATTTTACCTCCGCGTAGAATACTGCCATTACTACAAATTAAGCCTACGATTTACAACATACTTTTAATAGTATTGTTATAGTAATAATTCCGTTACTGCAACCTTAATCATACCTTTTTCTAGTAAATTTTGAATACTACCATTAGGCAATTCAATAAATGTATCGCCAAAGCACATCCACGATTGATCTTAAAGTTAGGATATTAAAATCGTTAATTATCCATCGAATAGGTGCAAACGGTTACACTATTTTATTAATTAGCTTATTCCTTTTTGGTGACTAAGAAGCAAGGATAATTAATCTACGTCTATGTCTTGGATGTTACTTGATTTATCGGTGTTTCTAATGCTGCGGAATGCTTCTCTGTGACCATTTCTTCGTTTATCAAGTGATACAATCTATAATTATAAAGTGTGTTGTTAGAACGATGGAGTAGCCATGCTCTACAGATAAGGTGAATGAATAAATTTCAAGTAAACCTTACTAACATGTACATTAGAACCAGTATTGTTACAGCAGCTGTACAATACGCGTATGTGAAGGAGGATTAAAGTAGATTTCAATTTTGGATAATTTATCGGATACTATACGTTACTATATACAGTACGAGTAGAGGACAACAGGATGTAGTACCATGTATATGGCGTAGTACTGCCCTTAGGAATACATTGCTGTAGGAATAGTTTAACACACGCCACTTCTATTCTGCTCACTAGAGTTGCAGCTACAATTAGTATCAAGCATGCAGTACTTACAGGACACTGTAACATAAAATCCAACAATTTGACTTTATTGGTCAAGGTGAAATATTGTTATTTACAAGGTAATGTACTATTTACGTCCAATCGACTGGTATGAGATACAGATACTCGTATGTTGATAGCTTGCGCTAAAGTGAACAGGTCTTGACTGAATTGTGCGTCGACAGCTTAAATACTTGCAACTGGCAAGGAAAGTGCAGTATGATAGGGATGATAACGAAAGGCGTTGTAATATTATATTTATGTATCCATATTCGCTTAATACAGGGCAGTAACTTTAGATCATGATATACTAAAGCACAAGTAGGTCTACATTATATGTGAAACTACTGTGCAATCCATTCAGGAAATGTAACAAACTACGTATTGCATAGGCAAGCTGACATTGAATATTTTCATCATAATCATTATAGAGAGTATTATCGTCGACTATTTTATACTATACCATTTGTTTATCCACGAGAATGTCTTCGGCTAAGATTTCAATATCGGTCATATACTTTAAAACCGCTTGGACAGCCTCGGCGGTCTCATCATTGTCGCTGGCAGCCATTTTGCAGGTCGATTCGATTGCAGTTTGGTTCAATATCTTATACAGTACTTTACATTGTACAATGTACAGTACAATGACAGACTCTGGCTTGTAGACCTTCGACACAAGCCCCTGGTACAGTACTGTTGTTCTACAGTATACTGTACTGCTGACTTCTACTTTCCTTCATGTTTCTAGTTGCATTGTCTGATTCTTCTTGCTACGGCCTCCAAAAAAAAGATGCTAATGCATACAGTAGTATGTTAGCTATCGAGCGGTTAGCGTTACTATACTAAGCGTGTACTCCATGTCAGGCTCACCCGTCATCATCAAGTGTGTCGCGCAGTCGGTTGACATCATGTTCCAGTCACACAGTGGCTGATTCTTCTTGATACGGCCTACAAAAAAACATGCTAATACATACAGTAGTATGTTAGCTATCGAGCGGTTAGCGTTACTGTACTAAGCGTGTACTCCATGTCAGGCTCACCCGTCATCATCAAGTGTGTCGCGCACTCGGTTGACATCATGTTCCAGTCACACAGTGGCTGATTCTTCTTGATGCGGCCTCCAAAAAAAGATGCTAATACATACAGTAGTATGTTAGCTATGGAGCGGTTAGCGTTACTGTACTAAGCGTGTACTCCATGTCAGGCTCACCCGTCATCATCAAGTGTGTCGCGCAGTCGGTTGACATCATGTTCCAGTCACACAGTGGCTGATTCTTCTTGATACGGCCTACAAAAAAACATGCTAATACATACAGTAGTATGTTAGCTATCGAGCGGTTAGCGTTACTGTACTAAGCGTGTACTCCATGTCAGGCTCACCCATCATCATCAAGTGTGTCGCGCAGTCGGTTGACATCATGTTCCAGTCACACAGTGGCTGATTCTTCTTGCTACGGCCTACAAAAAAACATGCTAATACATACAGTAGTATGTTAGCTATCGAGCGGTTAGCGTTACTGTACTAAGCGTGTACTCCATGTCAGGCTCACCCGTCATCATCAAGTGTGTCGCGCAGTCGGTTGACATCATGTTCCAGTCACACCTTTCGCTTGGCTCGGCTTTGCATTTTTGAACCACTTCCTAGCTTGCTTTGGCTAGAAGTTGATGCTGGTGTGTTAAAGAGAGATTGGACTCGCTGGACTTTTTCATTGCAGTTGAAGAAGTGAATATTAAAGGTATTTCAAGCAATTATTTCCACTGTAAGGTATCCAATCATCATTTCAATACCGGTATTGTAATAGGACGAGCAGAATTAACCATCCGGCAAACAAAAGGAGTCAAAACCACTGTAAATGTGCATTGATTCATCGACCCAGTAATGCCTCTTCTCTATCCTAGTCCAACGTCTTTTACTTGCCAATGGAGTTTTTTAGCACTGTCATTGACTTTAGAGGAAGAGATAGAGAGTGGACAATAAGTACTGTTGAATCCCTTCCAAGAAGGCGATACTCTATTTGAAAACAGATGGGAGAAAAGGCCATAAAAGTCTGGTATGAATATGCTAGTGGGAATCTCCAGTGTAGGATAGTGTATCATACAGCCAATACGGTACAATGGAATACACTCCAGTCGTATCCATATTCAATGTATAATCGTATTGCGTAAATCTAGTATCATTGCATTGGCAAAACACTTTCAATGTCCCAATACCATTCTTGTTTATTTTCACTCGACTTTCCTCTATTTTATTTTCAAACGCTTCATTTTCTGTCTCTAGTATTGAAATTGACAGAATTATCAAGGAAGTAAGTACTTGAACCAAAGCTATTTCTGTAGTCTTTCAAATATAATCTGGGCAAATTTCCTAGGCCGGTTGACTTGCCATGCTTTGCACTACACAAGTCCGACATTGTCCTTCTACTGTACGTAGTAACCGGCGGTACATACGTGTAGATCGATTGTCCCCCACTTACTGAAGAATAATTTTCCAATTTCCTGTCTTCTATCCTCATTGAATACACCTCATCCGTCCTATCTTGGTAGTAGTTATCGTTTCTTGTAAAGATCCAACTCGTTCATGATATCGCTAGCATCTCTACAGAATGATAACATACAATCCATAAGAATGAACGATTTCTAAAGATGTCAAAATGCAATACTGTATGTACGTCAATGGACATGGATACCCGGTGACGATGTCGAGTCAATCGGATCCAATGGTAGCTATGACTACGAGCAGTTTAGCGTAAACTAGATCCAAGGAATGTGTTGGTTGAGATGCATCCATGAGAAATGGAAAAATACAAAATAGATTTCAATTTCTGACACCAATTGAATGAATGATGTGCTATTTGATTTTTTAAAAAAAATCTCATTTCCTTATGTCAATTTTATCCTTTACAAATCGCTATGCAATATCTTAATTAATACAACTTAACTTAATTTTTCTAGGTTAACCTTGTTGTCGATTATGGCTGTCAGAGAAATTAAACTATGTTTATTAGGGGTAAGTGGAAGTTGAATGAAGAACTGGAAATGGTAACGATGTAGCGTAGATTAGAGCATAAGCGTATGGACGATAGACAGTACAGTAACACTTACTGGGAAGGTTATCATTTCCATAGACTTGGACAGTATAAAATTAACTTGATGATGGTTAAGAAGGCTGTCTGATAGTACCATCTTAAGTAAAATTAATTGAAATTGACAACTGTCTTAATTTCCTAATTGTTAAGTCAATGAATTTGCTTATCTTGTAATATGTTGATATGGAAAGGATGCTGGTGTTGGTAAATCAAGCCTGGTTTTACGCTTTGTATGTGATACGTTTAATGCCTGTTCAGAAAGTACGATAGGGTATGTTGCTTGTTATGAAATGAATTATGGATATGCTTATAGTAATGCCATAAAGATTACTTTGTATTCTACCAATAATATAATTATTATATTCTTGATCATGGTAATTCTGTTATACATTGATCATTGTTATGGTTTTTCTAATTTTGGGGGAGATATGCTTGATAACTTCATGGTAGTAGTAATACTGTAATAATAGTTGTTTTGTCATTCAAGTTGAAACTTGGAGTTTTTATTAAAAGGGCAAAAGGATAAGTATACTTACCCTTTCTTGGTAGCTATCTATTAATTAAAAATATCTACCGCTTTACAACGTGTAAATAACGCAAAAGTCTATCGTATCTTCATAGAAAATAACATCAACACTCATAGTCGTAAATGCCTTTATTGATCCAAATTTTTAAATAAGTAATGATACACTTTAGAAAACTTTTCCTTTTGATACGAGTAAAGCTTGTTACTCTATTCACTTTTTTATGTTGCCAAAAAATTGACTCTAGATAGACGAAGTTGTTGTCTATAGAATTCATGAATAAACACTCTAGGAATAGGCGCTATTATCACTAATATTGTGTACATATCCTATCATCTTTCCAATGCGATCTTTGTTAATTTCTAGTTAAGATCGAGAACATATTTTATAATGAATTAGAGGGAACTACTATTTTTTCATAGTACTGTAGATGTTAATTGAGAGTATTACTGTCGCGATAAATATCACGATGGAGATCTTATGGTAGGATGTAGCAATGAGAGGGAATCCATTATGAATTATGGTACATATGGTTGGACATATTCTATCGATAGTTGATGATTTCATACTGCAGCTATGTTTGTTTAATGTGTAATGTTGTCTTATTATTATGCTTTATAATTTTTAACCGTTTTAATGGGATAGCCGAATTTTGATTTTTCTACATTCATCTTTTATAAGTGTGATAACCAGGCATCGTAACTTGCACAACTTCTAATTTTAGTAACAGATGTATGCTATCAGTCAGTACACAGTACTATGTTATTTTAATGATATCAAGTTGCCTAACTTTTATAGTTAAACTGACGGTGGTGGTCATATCGTTAATCACGATGAGTAATGCTAAGTCAACAAGTTAGCTTTAGCATGATGACTGTCATATTAACAACCCTTTTTGGACGTATTGAGAGAAAAAATAATGAGAACGTATCATAACTACAGTTATGGTTGTATTTCGTCCAGAATGAAATATCGTTATCAGCGATTCTTTGTAGCAAACATGACCACTATAAATCTAATTACAGTTACCGTTTCTACATGATTTCAAAAGATGAATCCTGAAATTTTTCAATTTATTTTTTACTTTATGACAATTGAATTCTTACCTACTACATATTAATAAAATAGCGCCTCTTTCATGTCGAAAACGATTGAGGTTAATGAACAATCCTACAAGTACCAAATTTGGGATACTGCTGGCCAAGAAAAGGTATTATACACAACATCTAATTTGCATTTGCCCAGTGTGCTTCCAATTTGTAGCTTAATTACGATGACGACAGCATTGTTTTGGACTAATTTTAATTGCTAATTATTAATCACAAATCTAACGTTTGACTCGAATTTAATACCAAGTGTATTGACTACATGCAGCACTTACTTAATGCGATAAGTATGATGAATGCATAGTTTTACGAATAGATTAGGCTGACACGTTGTCGTAATCTTTTCTGATCGGCTTTATTTCAAATATTTCTGTTAAAAATTATATAACTATGCATCAGAAATCCGTTCAGTATATTGTAGTACGATCTACACTGATTAGCTCACTTGTTTGTTCAATACGATCGTTCGTTTGCACGTTTTGTAAATCTAATACAATAATCTATTAATGTGCACCCTAAGATACTGTCAGTATGGCAATAAATGTAGCAGTAGTTTTCTTATTCTATCAAAATTTGAGTAAACAAATTTTAGATATTAATTAGGTTGCAAGAAACTACATCAGTAAACGATGATACAGGATTCATTATAATTATCTCCTTGATATTGAATCACTTATATTCCTGTCTGTCTATTTAAATAGTATCGTGGTCTAGCTCCCATGTATTACAGAGGGGCAGCTGCTGCCATCGTCGTTTTCGATATAACCAGAGAGGTAACTATACGAGTATCCTGTGCATTCCGTCTACATCTTAAATAGGAATATTTGAAAATAGTCTATACGCATTACTATTTCATTGTATAATCATAAATAAGCTTGCAAATTTAATGGATATAGGAAAGTTTTCATACCTTGAAGGATTGGGTAAAAGAGTTGCAGCAGCTAGGACCCCCAAATTTAGTTATGGCTATAGCTGGCAATAAAAGCGATCTAGATGAGATGAGAGAGGTTAGTTCATATATTTGATAGTGGATGAATATGCATAGAAATTGAGTATGTCTTGGGTATATTGGTAATGTAGCAAACTCTAGTACAGTAGACAATTGTTTTATAATGATATAAATATCATCTTAAAATTTAAAAATTTTAGGTCTCATCACATGACGCTAGAACTTTCGCCGACAGCGTAGATGCTTTATTTGCTGAAACAAGCGCATTGACGGCCAAAAATGTTCTCGAATTATTTGTTGAAATAAGTTAGTTTTTATGTTATTATTGAATTTATTTTGACAGCAGGGCTGCAAATAATTAATGATTGCAATAGGAAAATATAGATGACCTTATAAAATCACATTAAAAAAATTATTACCTACCATGATCATTTTTATTTATTGTATGAATATTTATTTGCTTTCAGGTAAAAAATTACCGCAGGAAGCACTGGAGCTCCCCACACAGCGTGATACTATAAACTTAACTCGGCCAGCACCAGCTACCAAGGATAAGAAAAAGTGCTGCTCTAAATAAACAGCCATAATATAATACAGTACAAAAATTCTTCAGAATTGATAAATTAAAACTGAATGATGATAATCGATACAAAATTAAGAAGTTTTCTTAGGTCTTCCATTAGATCACTCTATATGATATAAAGAAGTTTACTAATCGTAAAGGCTGAACACATTACAGTCACAGGAATCACCATAAATTATACGGCGTACATGTGTGATTTTATTTAATTGATTATTCTTATTTAAAATTCAAATAGTGCTTCACTTTATAATCGTCAATTTATCAGAAATTTTTTAAATACCCTCTAATATCTTTAAAAATTGCTATTGCGTTCTATTATGTATGCCGACTGCATGTACATGAAATTAATGCATTATCATTCTGAAATATGCATAATATATCGATTTCTATATACAAAATAATATTATCATGTTTTATGTCTTAATGGATCCCTTGAAGTGAAAGTCCTTTTTTTACGTCTATTATTGCATTTTTTGTAATCGAATGTACAGTATAATATTTTAATTGCCTTTCAATACCGAAATTCTACCTTCTGAAATATGCATAAATTGCCAAAGTTAACTTAATGTATATGCTTTTATTTATTAAATTTGCCACGATTGATGTTGGTAAAAGATGCTTACAGATAACTTATGCAGATGAATATAAATATGATTTTCCTTTGCTAGATGTAACTACTGAAAGATAATTTAAATTAATGCGCACTATCGAATAGAAAATTTTGGTGTGGCGAACATATATTAATAAATACATTTCTGATACAAATTATTCGAACTGATGCTCGTGTTCTGTCCGTTAACTGAATGCTACCTTACTTAGGCCCTTGTTGACGTTATATAAATGTACAGTATACCAGGATATTACTTAAAAGATGGCAAAGCCAGGTTGATTGTGCTTCCTCTATTTTTATTTGGGTTAAAAACATAAAAAATAAAATTTATAATAATATTCTATTGTCATAAACTATACTTTACTAGATACGAGATAAGAATTATTATTGCGGGTTCTATTGATTTTGATCATGTTACTGTTATCAACGCTAGATCATCGCTAAAAATGTGATCTACTTTATAAGCTGTTTCGCAGTACCAAGCTATTAAAATTTTTATAATTTCTCGATTGTATAAGCCTCTTTCTAAGACAATACTAGTCATACCATTCTTAATATTCAACACAGTAATTGATTTTATGCTGGAAAATTACATGGCAATTTTCATAATTAAATAGTACTATCAATCAATTATCGAATACAAGTCAATTTTTAATAAAATTTAACAATGTTAAATCCGTAATTACTTCTATTAAAGTAACTTTGAGAAAGACTTTACTTGAATCTTTTAAATGCTATTAGTAGTAAAAATTAATCGTAGATTATTTTTTATAAATGTAATGATTTATGGAATAACTAGCAAATGCTAAATTTTGTTTTAGAATTGACTTTATCAAAGTGTAGGTCTGGATATATAATTAATATGGCTAGTAGATGGGCCAATTTAATATTTGTGTAACTATAAGTAATCCAGACTAAACCTTAATCTATAAATTGAACATAGAAGAAATCGTTATAAAATTATAGTATATCTATTCACACAAACAGTTATGACTAAATGGTACTGTAAGCCTTTTTGTATCGATGGGTCAGCTTAATCTTTGCCGGCCATAACAGCTTCAATCTCTTCTACTGTTCGTGGAACTTTTGTTAATACTTCTACCCCAGTAGCGGTAACATAAACATTATCTTCGATACGCACCTAATATACCGTGTAGAAAAGAATTGATTGGTTACATCTTTTATCAAGTCTAAAACTATAAATTTTTGAACTTACACCACCAATATTTCGAAGTTGTTCAACTCTATCTTTGTTTAAGAACTGAGCTTGATTAGGATCGTTTAATGCTTTATCTAAAAGCTATTCAATAAAATATAACCCATAGTTAATAGAGTATAGTAAAGGAATATTTCAAGTATATCACTAAGTAAAAAGCTGCAATACAATGTTAATAAGGTAGCATCCTGGCTCTACGGTGATAACCATTCCTTCCTGTAGTTCACGATTTGCACGTAAATTACGAATGCCGGGTTCATCGATACGTTTAGTATCCTAAGTAGATAATAAACTTTAACATCTCGCCTTGTGTATTAACAACTACATATCAAGAGAAAAGGTCAAAAGCTTACTCCAGGATAACCGCCGACATCGTGAGTATCGATACCAAGGAAATGACCTAATCCATGAGGCATAAATATAGCACCAACATGAGCAGCTATCATATCGTTAAGATTTCCTCGGACAATATCATGTTCTTTCAAATGTTCTAAAATGCACCGTTCAGCCAAACGATGCATATCAGTCCACTGAACACCTAGAATTCGGAGAAAATTTTAATTTATAGGATAGGCAGGTATAGGGACGAGGCAGCATCAATATTGTATAACGCTAATATTGACCTGGTTTCATTGCTGCTTCGACAGCATTATTGGCCTTTAGAGCAGCGTTATAAATGATCTTTTGATCTTCAGTAAATTTTCCATTGCTTGGAAATGTACAGGTGATATCAGAAGTATAACAGTAATATTCTGCGCCCATGTCGACGAGGCTATTGAAATAAATTAGTGTACACGCATGATTAACAGTCAAAACGATCAATTGAGGCAAATACCAAAACATAGTAAGGAATTACGTATATACTTATATTGACATAGTAACACTAACTGCTTACCATAAGTCGCCATCATCAATAGTTTTATTATTTGGAACTGCGGCATGGCCATAATGGAGGACAGCACTGTTGGATCCACTGATACACATACATCAGATATATATTAAAACTTAAATTTTTAAAGGACGAAAGCTTCAGTATGTCTAGTTCTACTAATATACAAGAATTATAGGATCATACTTGTAGATAAATAAATAATAATATAGTAAAATTAGTACTTTTTACCTAGCAACAATTCCAGAATAAGCTACGTAGCGACATCCACCCCGACTGTAGCAGTGGTTTAAGAATATACTAAAATACACGTAAATGGGGCATAATTTATATTTCAATACACTTTCATATGTATACACAATCCTGTGCTATGCAAGCTTTCATATGACGTTACACTACCTTTCCAATTCGTATTCTTTCATTCCAGGTCGAACACTTCGCATCAACTGTTGAAATATAACGATTTAAATTTTAACTGTGTTTTACGTATCAAAAAGCGTTATTCATTTTATGATATTCTGTAACTGTTATGTTTATAAGAAAAGATAAATAGGACATCATAACTGAGCAAAGTTCATAATTGATGTAAAAAGATTAAACCTGGATATGGCCTTGACTACTAATACCATTGACATAACGCATGATATCGAGTTCCTGATGCGATTTTGTTACACGGCTAGAATACAACAAAAAAATTAGCTATCTTGAGAAAATTTTATTGAACAATAGATGGCATCTATCCAGATCCTTTTGCATAGCGTTTACAGAAACCATATTTTAATAACATTTAATACCATTCTGATATTTCAGGGTGTAATGAGGTTCGGTCAGTTTCGAAACTGTAAAATAATTATACGATGTACGTTACGAAAACGTTAGTAATTAGTACATGATTTTACATTATACAGAGTAAAACGATTATGTTGGTCATACTTTATAAAATTATGCTTTATAACCATGGATTATAACAAAAAATAAATAATACAAAAATTGTATAGAAATTATTAAGGTACCTATCGATTCCATCAAAATCTGCCTCAATTGTATGCAGACCGCTATCTGTATTTTTTCCTTTCTAAAGTTAAGGTTGGAGTTAGGTGGTAAATTACTTTCCTAGCTGCCATTTACTCTTAATACTTCGATATCACATGGCATAGATTTTAATTTAATATCACTAATTGCAAACTATAATTCATACCAGAAGCAACAGAGTCGAAGGCTTTTTAGCTTGAAGAACTTGTTTTATCTAAATGTATTAAACATTTATGTAAGATATTTCATAAATGGCCCAACTAATCTATTTTCCTGTCCAATTAGACAAGACCGTTTGATGTAATTACCTCTTCGGTATAATGGACTTCATCAACATCATATTTATTCTTGATTTGTTCCGTCGAGAGTATTCTAAAAGAATAATAAGTGGATATATACTTATTAGCTGGAAACAGTAATACTGGTGACTGTCTATTGCAACAAGTAAGCAAGGGATAGGGTTATTTTAGTAAAATTAAAAATTGCACTCTTACTTATAGAATATATATACGGTAAAAATTTAATCTAGACTTTGGCTGCCACAAATATTTAGGTATCATGACACATCCGAATTACTAATATTTAAGTTAATTGCAGTAACTTACTCTCCCATCCATACTGCATATTCAGCAGGTAGTTTTGGACAAAAAAGGATAGACGTGTTGTTATCGACGTCGATAGCACCATAATAGTCAGGCTCACAAACGCCAAAAGTCCAATGAAAGTAAGATTCCTACACCATGCGGGATAGTTCAATATAATTATTGATAATAATAATGTTGTTTAAAAACCTTTCAGGTACGCTAATGGCTTATAAAATGTTATTTTGTGTATTTCTATGATTTAATTTCAAGCCTACTAAAATTTTAATTTACTTTGCTGTATTCTCGGTTAGTAAGAAATGTATTTTCGTTTCAAGCAGTGAACGATAGAGGAAAATACTATGTTGTATTTTTACTATTACATTTATTTCAGTTTATTTCGTCCTAGAATTATGACAACCTAGCAGAGTATGCGTGTGCTGTAGCTGCCAGATCTAAGGAAGTCCTGCTATTCTACATTACCATTTCGCTTTTGAGAGTCAATCAATTATTCTTACTCTAGTTACCTGTCTGAATAAAGGTTCATGATCGGTGTTATGCCTCATGATACTCTTTCCACCTTGCAAGAGAACAATAGCTCCATTTTTAACACCTCTCTTTTTGAGTCTTCCATTCAATCTTTGCCTATTTAAAGCATGTAAAGATCGAACAACTGTTGCTGTTTGTTGGCCCATAGAATAAGTCGACCTAGAATGTATTCATATATAGTATATATCAGTATATGTAATTGCTATACTGATGATGTTCAATTGAAAAGTAGAGTATAAAGTCATTCAAAGTTATCTTGTATTCCTTTACATTCTACCCTATTCAAGATCAATGACATCGTGTACGAGCAAGCTATCCTACAAGGAATGCTTGTGCATGGACTACTCTCAAATTTGGTAGTCCATGGCTAGTATTTACTGTATTTTCTGATATCTTGTTGATGACAAGTGTAGATGATGTCATATTTATTTGGATAACTACTGGCCGATCGTGAATACTGTGACCGCATGCAGTGAACAATGTATTATGAATCTATTCGGACTTTTTCTTGTTAACTAGAATGAATAATTGCAGATATCAGATCAAAATACAAAATGGTATTACAGTGTGACAGATATCGAGGTAAACTTCAGTAGTTGAGATATGTATTCTCGATAATTATAGCTATTACAATTGATCGAGTAGAGGCTAGGAGTGCTTGCATGATTTGGTTATGACTCTTGCACAAGTAGTGACAGTAATCTATTTCTCTGCATTCCTTCTAATATTAAGGCAGACACGGATGAGCTCTGTATCTTACTTTTTATACTTTTCTTTCTGATCTATTTTTCGATCATCCTATGCAATATCATACAGCATATAACATTTCCACTTATAAGGTAGTCATGGCTATCCTGGATTCAAGCAATAGAGTAGAGTACAAGAGTGGACACTCGTTTTTAGTCGTTTTACAGTCCAAAAGTCAACATCCTGGTGTTATTAGTCGTGGCGGATAATCTATACCATTATTCTAGCACTAAGTTAGTTTACTTACCCCACCATTTTCCCTTGATTCCTGGAATTATTAGAGTATTCCGGCGGCTTTTTTCAGCTTGCACTGGCAATGGATGGCTACAAGGAGACTGCAGTCTGGCTAGTCAAGTGCAGCAATGTTGTGTTTTACGGCTACGACAGTACAATATTGGTACTGTACTGATTGACACTCAGGGTAAATACATCTGTACCACTGCTATAGTAATGGCTGTACCGTCCAGACCAACAGCGCACTAAAGGCAACATTTTTTTCGCTCCATGGTGGGAGTCGTCCGTCTAGTGTAGGGTCAGCCTCCAACGCTGTACGTGCTGTTTATCATGGAGTACTGGTGCACATTCAGCACTGGTAAAACTAGTGTAGTGTACTGTAGTGGGCTGGACTGGAAATACTGTACTAGACTCCCAAGTTTCCGACGTCATCCAGTTGCAGGACAGAAGGACTGCTAGACTAAAGGAGTGATTTCTTGATAGTTGATGGCTGTACTGGAGATTTATTTCATTAGTCTTGTATTAGCTATCATAGAGATCGAATCGCTCAGTTCCATCGAATCAAAACTACAGAGTTGATTCCTATGGTTTAGTATATATGGTACGGTATATACTGAGTACCACTGAAACTGTGTAGAATGGCCATGGTGGACTGTGGTAGACATACTATAAGACTACTTTTTATTCGACGCCATCCGTCTACTGCATACAGTAGTACAGTACTGTACAGTGTACAGTACTATACTGTACTGTAGGACTAGTTTTTATTATTAGCTAGCCATCAGTGTACAGTACAGTGTACAGTAAGTACAGTATTGTACCGTGAACCATGACCTCCTTCCGTCCTTCTCTCTCTCTCTCTCTCTCTTCCCTGTTCTCATACTGTACAGTACTGTACTGTACAGTACTGTAAAAATTACTGTACTGCACAATGGATGCACAATACCAAGTACTAAGATGTACAGTACGTACGGTACAGTTGTAAGCCCGTGCTTGGACGGACAGTACTTTTTCTTGACTGGACGGTGAGATTACCCTCCCTCGTGACTTCATCCGGGGCTTTTCATCACTCCACGCGACAGCTAGGTCTTTCTCTTTTCCAACTCAGCGAAAATGGTAGGTAACAAATAGACTATCGACATTCGTTATTTGCAATTTGGACTATCGACACATCTTAAACCAATTTCAGTTTTGAATGATCGACGTGAATAATGTAATATTGTTGCTATAGAGTATCCAGAAATTGTATTACATGCTTTCAATTCGGTGATATTTTGCTTGAATAACTCAAATAGCCCAGGCAATTGCACTTCCTACGCGTGAAAATGTCCGTTTCACTTTTTCCAATATCGACGCTAATAATGCCAATTAGTATTCACAACTTGTGCTTGTTGGTGAAAATTCTTGATAGTTTGCTTTGATAGTTCGGTTGATGAAATGATTCTCCATCGATACTGGATATTTAGCATATTTTACTGTAATAAAACATTTTTCCGTCTTCATGATGGCACCCGTTACAGAATGCAGTATGCGCGTACAGTAGTGTGTAGTATAATGTATGGACGCAAAAGAGGATACTGTAATGCTCAAGAATAAGTTACATATCAAACACCTACTTAGTAGGGCAATTTTAATACTCTTTCTTATGAGTGTTGTATTCAATGTGTATATTTCACCAGATGTAATGATGGCATATTGATATTGTTCAGGTTTTTACGCGATTTGTGGAAATCGGTCGTGTTGTACTGGTCAACACTGGCCCAGACGCTGGTAAACTATGTGTTATAGTTGATGTAATCGACCAAAGAAGGGTAAGCATGATACGATGCAATTAATGACAACAATATCATGAGTTGACTGTAATCAGACGCAATGTTAGATAGGTAGCATGAATAGTACTAGTATTAATAATGTTGTACACACTGTTTGGACTTACTGTGCTAATTGAATTGATTCCTCGAACAACTTGCAAATACGTTGCTATCTACTCTCAATTACAGTGGATGCAGCAGACATTACTATGTAATTATACCATATTCAGTCAAGTTCAACGCATCGTAGAAATTCTTAATAACTAAATCGTTATAATACTGTATCATGATGTGTAATACTGAAACTGATAGCATCGTATGTACCATTAAAATCCTCGATATACAATTGATAACGAATCAAAATTCACTTCTGTTCAATTTGATTTTCTCTCCAGGCTTTGGTAGATGGACCATCTACGAATGTCAAACGACAAGCCATGAACTTTTCAAACATGTCATTGACCACATTCGTTCTACCTAAGTTAGCTCACTCTGTTCATTCCAAGAAAGTGAGACAAGCTTTCGATTCTGAGAAAATTCTGGAAAAGTGGAATGAAACTGCTTGGGCTAAGAAGCTTCGGACACGAACTGTTAGAAGAAATCTGACCGATTTTGATCGATTTAAAGTCAAGAGAGCTAAACAAAAGGTGCGCTATCGTCATGATAAGATTAGATTTATCTTTAACTTACTGTAATTTCACCATTTAGTTACGTATATATTACTTTAGTGGAAGTTCCACTCGCCAGTTTAATGTGATCAATATACAATAATGAGTGAACTACTTGCATCAGACGGTTCTGCTGAATGCTAAATATTGATCAGCTTTATGCTTCAAGCAGTAGCACGAGCACTGAAGTAATCGATTGGTACTTCTCTCTCATAATAATAAAGTATGCTATTTGTTAATCATGATCTATTTCAATTTTGTAATTACAGAAAGCCAGGCTAATTAACGGCGAAGTGAAAAAACGTAGACGCGCATCAAAGCAATAAAGATATTGTTTGTTGTATATTAGATTTGTCAAATGTTATAATCAAATAAAAACTTTCGTTCGTGTCTTCTGTGAATAATAATATACGTGCCATGATGTTTCTTTGAGCTGAAACTGTAAGTTTCGAAAGTGACTAATTGCTGTGTATCGCTACTCTGCAGCTATTGAAATTTAATATAACAGCTAACTTTATAGCGGCTACCGGTTATGCACCAAAAAAATGAATTTCATTGATGCATGGCGTAATGCGATCATATGCAGTAGTTAATTTGATCTTTCACGTTTTACAGTTCCTAGTATCTAGAAATATAGATCTGCAAAAAAATTGCAAATTTCGAGCATTTTAGCCATCGGATACACGCGTATCTGCAGTTTTCACAACTCTTCAATCTGCGACTACCGCAAATACAGATGCCCATCAAAATGCTACCTCTTTGACGTAATTAGATGATGTCTATCAAGTATCCATTCCATTTAAAATTTACTTTTGGAATCTTATGTTAGATACTCTTGCCGATACAGTAGCAGTTCGAAATACTAAGGGTGTACGTTCGGACAGTATTTAGGGGTTATTTCGATTTTAAACTATCGAATTGGAGTAGAATCTCCGTAGACTAGCTTGATTACTATTATGTACTGTAATCATTATAATGAAAACTTTGCAGTGTATTTCTACTCGCATCAGCGGTTGAATTCATGGCAAAGATTCAGGCTATTGCACTTCGTGACATACTGGTGTCGGTAAATAGGGCTGTAAAGTGAACTGCTGTAATTCAATATCTAGAGCAATCGGAAGGGCAGATATCGAGTAGGCAACTTGTTGCCCGGGTCATGGACTACTAGAAGAAGACCCAGTAGTCCATGCTTGAATGTAGGGATGCAATTACGAAAAATAGCATTGATTTTCCATAACACAGTTTTTAGGCACTAGAATATTATCGCCAAGCCGTTACCAGGTAGGTAATTGCATCCTTGCAAATCATTTCATGCTAACCTGCAACTCAATCATGTTATAGTGAAGATTTAGATTATATACATTCTCTTTATTCTCACCGAATTTATCTAATTAAAGAAAATTACATAAAAGAGAAACTCAGTAAATCTACAATACATCAACTTTGAATGTACGTCGTACGGTGCATGAGTTACATTAATCTCACGAATATTTTAATTATCTCCAATTGATGAACAGTGATTGCATTATGCAATCCATTTCATGTCAAAATTTTAGGAGCTCTTTAACAGATCTTTCAGAGAACAGAGGAAAATCTAAAAATTTATGTATTGTATCATTTACAAAAATGGATAAGGAAGACGTCGTTTATCAAGATATAATAACAAATAACATAGAAAGTTATAAAATACTCATGGCGTTGACTATACCAATTAGGCGACGTAGCCCTAGCAAGTAGAGTTGGTTAATCAATAATAAAAGCCTACTTTTCATTTTTAGATTCCTTCGAATTCGAACTATCCGATGACCCCTTTTGCTCGTCTGATTTCTGAGAATTGCTAGACGAACCTATAAATTTATGTCAGTAATAGTCTTGAGTATTGTACTCAATTTCATGTCGAAAGTAATGGATTATAATGTATTCTAGATGAAATTACGGTGTGAGTAAAATATAGATCGATACATACCTTGGTTATCCGATTTATCCGGTTTATCAGAACTACTTTCTTCGTTTAGTTCGGCATTTCTATTCGCTTCTTTGTTATTGATCAGATTATGCAAGGCAATAATAGCTCGTATCATTGAAGCTAAATACATCACCAACATCTGGTCGTTTGTTTTGACAGTGAATGTTTTAGCAAACTCTTCAACGTTCACATTCGGCAACAAATTATTTATTTCTTGTAATGTATAAATTGTTTGATGATTGAGAGGCAATTTTCCCTGTATCACTTTATCTAAGTATTTTGTGATTCCGTCCAGTTCTAACTGCGCTCCTTTTAAAGATTGTAAATAACTGGTGATGCGTTGAGACAATGTTCCAGCCGTGGAATCTTTTATATCTCTAAAGATTCAATCATTTTATTAGTTGTATTCATCAACAGCATTAAAAAGGGGGATAGTTAAACTACCGCTGTAGTACAATAAGATTTAAAACAAATTCAATATAGACCTTAACAAGTGTTCTACTCCAACTTCTTCAGGCTCTTCTGCGCCAATTTCACTAGGTAGGTTCTCAAAAGTTTTACTTGTTGGTGTGCCATCCTAGAGATATTCCATAGTCAATGTAATAGTCCAGCACATTTCTTAAGTAAGACTGTTTAAAAATCCTTACTGAATAGTAAACTTACGTCATGGACTTCTTCGATCGCTATAAAAGCATCCGTCGGAATCCCCAAATCTTTAGGTTGAGCATCAATAATGACTAAAACCTAATGTATAGTGAATCCATACAATCAATACTAGCTTACTAAAATATGACCTGCAAGCATTGGTGCTAGACTGATCCAGCTGTATAGTGTCATTTTTTTTGTAGTTAATTACCAATTCTACCATCATTTTACTGTACTCACCGGATTTGCTACGAAGCGTTTTAAGACTTCGTTGACGGATATATCATTACTGTGGATTTTCGGTCCGGTATGATACCAACCAACCACTTTCTCACGAGCTATATAGAGTCAAAAGAAAGAACCCATTTACTTTTGAATGGTGATGGTGTTGGAAAAGGTAGGCAAATGAATGACCGTAAGATCAGTTCAATGGAGTGCAAAATTACAATTTGAAAAGTAAATGTGCAAGGCTCAATCAATGAGCTATTTTTAGCATTAACTTTACCGTTGACTTTTTTGAACATGGCATACATGTTTTCTAGATAATCATGATCTAGGTACCAGATATCAGGATTTTTTTCTTCTTCTTCGAATGGAACTAAAAAAGGCGCAGAGGATACGTCTTTTAATGAATATTATGAATTCATGACATCATCTACTATACAGACAAGTACTGGACAATTTGATAGTGGTTTAACCACTCTGACTGATCCAATATTTATGGTATCTTTAGTGATATTCCTAAGTGGACAAGTTGTTGTTATTAATGTAGTTTCCTTCAATGAAATGTTTCATTGATTGGGTCCATCTATTAACCTAGTGTACAGTACAGCCATTGAATCCATCACTGTATGTTGTATTGTCCAATTCTACCGTAGCTCAATTGTTAGACTGTCAGTGGTGTATTTTTAAAGCTATTTGCCAGCAGACTAGCTCCCTTGCAGTCAATTCAATTTCTTTCAGTCGAGTATTTCAATGTTTTAGCTATCGTATACGCTGGCAACTATTCAATGTACAACGATGACTGCATGTTGCACTCAAGTAGTATCATTTGGTTTGGAAAGAGATGGAAAAAATTCAAAACTCTCTTACCAGCAAAGCTATTGGATACATCTAAAATTTGACCTTTCAAAGAACCAAGCAAGATACCAACCACTCTTTTATCATTTAACCTTTTAAAATGATCTACTACGCTTAATAAGACCGTAGGATGGACGACTACTTTCTCTGGTTTAGTTATCATGATTTCAATTTGCCAACACAGTCAGTACAATCTTCCTTCTTCTTATGGCGCTGATGAATCAATCTTGACACTGTCCGGACAACTGGAGATTGATTTTCCACAAGCGTGAGTCAACGTACAGTACTGACAGACAGAGCAGTGCCACAGCCCTGTACTGTACTGTACCGTACGCACCGCGTTGCATACTCACGGTGACTCACCAGTCCACAGTGTACAGTGTACAGTAGTTTAGTTCTGTACTGTACACTGTACACTGAGTATGCTGTACTTTGCAGCTACTGTTCCAATCGTGTGTAAAAACTTGGGGAGTACAGAGTCAGATTAATTTCGATGCCACCCTGAAAAGATAGAATTGTGTAAGTTAAATCAGGCCCAAACTAGATCAATTCTAGATGTCGTTGTAGCCTAATAACTAAGAAATGCCAGTTTCGTTCTTATTTCTCAAAAAATTCTACATTTTTCCCGTAAAATTGGTTAAAAGTCTTTGTCATTGGCAAGTATCATTGTTGGCAAATCGCGCTCTGCGTTTTCGCAATGACAGTTATTATACTGTACAGTACTGTACTGTACAATGTGTATGGTACCTTATTGTACTGTATGGTTTTAGTTTTAGTGACCATTTCATCACCAGTTCAGACTGCACAGTAAATGTATCGCTGTACCGTTCCACGATCGTTCCGAACCGTATCTACAGTATGTACAGTACAGTACACTGTGTACTGTACAGTATACTGTCCTGTACACTGTACAGTACATTCTACAGTAGATACGGTTCCATTTCATCACCAGTTGAGAAAATACAGTACAGTACAGTATGTCTCATCTCCTTCCATCCCATCGCATTTTACAGTATTTTCACTTCACTTCCCGTCCTGTTTGTCCCGTAACTAGTCTACTGTACTACCATTAATGAAGATGTTACAGACTTCTGACCGGACCGAAACGCGACGGGATCCGACCAGACGGAACGACAGCAAAAAAGAAAGAAAAGGGACAGGAAACGGTCGTTGACTGTAGTAATAATTGCCAAGCGGTTTATTTTCCTCTTCATTTCATCTGTATCGTACATGTGTAACGGCACACCATACTGTCCCGATGAATATCGAAATTAGCTGCTCATTGATTTTATACAGTACAGTATGGTGGTATACGGTGTCATGGATACCGACCGTATAGTAAAATGACCGGCAAAATGATCAGCCTCCCAATGATTTGGCATTGACGGCCGTTTCCTATCCCCTTTTTCATTTTTCTACCAGTCGTTGACGAGGTGGTCAATAACTTTCTACATACGCGTACATAGCTTATGACTACAGAAAGAGAGGAAAAGTTGTAATTCAAGACTGTTGAGTAGAAAAAAAAGTGTTGAATTTACAATTGAAGTAATACATGACCATCATGCGAAAGTATCCAAATGGAATATTGACTAAAGCCTATGCTATAAACGTTAATTGACTTCATAATAAATGAACAACGGTATGATGTTGTCATCAATACCAAACGGTGGGACACCTTGGTAGGCAATCCTTACTGCATATTGTAATTTACTTACATGAATTATACTGCACGATAGATACATGTCGAGATCTCTGCGTGAAATAATTCAATACAAATTATGGGAAACCTCGATCAGATGCGCCTAATGATAATTCTCTGCGCATTACCGTATCATAAATAGTTCAAGCTTAATTACATTTGATAGACTTATTCTTTCGTAGTCCTTGCAACTGCGAGAGAGGTATTGTAAACTACTTCGTCACTATAGCAACGCAGAGTTCTTACTTTCCGCTTGAGGTTTATTTACGGAGTGCGTTTATTAAGGCAGTGGCAGTGAAAAAATAGCTTTGTCTAATGGTGATTGATCTATTGTATAACTCTCTTATACAGGGAAATATTTCATCAACAATACAACTATTCACCGCACTATGTACATGCAAACTACGAGTACATCTTGTAACACTTTTAGCTCGTCGAGTTCCCTACCGTGAACGAACTACCTGTACCTTGGTATACAGAGACTACTACTTCCTAATACTTTTCATAATTTACCTTTACCAGCTTGAAATAAGTCGATGATTGGCATTCTCAATCTTACCATCGACTGTGTTATATAAAGAATATTTGTAATTTAACCTCTTCTATTTCAAAGTTTTTTACTTTTTTAATTAATTAACTGCAATCTACTTACGTACGTGATTGCTCCACACAATTCATGGACTGAGAAAAAATCGAGGACGAATTTACAAATTCGTAAACCTGCTGGAAGAGGTTAGTTAAGAGATTAGATCATTTGGCCTCTCATTAACCTTCAAGACATCTATTCTTATCGATTATAATATCGACCAATGTATCACATGAATTTGAAGAACTTACAATTTTAATACAAACCCTTCGATATCGACGATAAAGTTATTGCTGTACACGTATATTCAATATGCAGCCGGAGTCACAAGCTGAACGCTTAACCTCCAAACATATTAAAACTTTAAACTATTTGCAATTAATCTTGAAGCAAAAAGGTGAACTAGAAAATAAAATTGCCGACTTAGAGGTGAGAAAGTGACAAGCAGATAATGTCTCTGTTTTATTCTATCTAACTTTTGTGACTTGTATAATATATTAAGATCAGACCAGATGCGCGTCAAGATAGTTCGCTAATTACCTTGTACAATGTTACTAATCTTCAATGCTAACAATAGATTTATAAACTTCCTTTCATTCACTAGGATCAACTCGCCGATGCTAATGAAAATATCAGATTAGCCGATCGACGTTTCGAAGAACTAAAAAGAGAATCAGAAGATGGCTTAGAAGCTAAAATCGCAGAACTTGAATCGAAACATCAAGCAGAGGTAACTAGTAAAGAAAGATCGCATACGACTTAAAAACTTATAATATTATTATTAATCGCGTAGTTAGCCTCATATTCTAATGATAAATTGATATTACTGTAAGTGAAAGTCAGCCGATTAAGGGCTATATACTGTCCAATGTAATCGGATAATTTTTTCATCTTAATGCGGTAAAATGCAAAGTTTACTCCCTTGCCCATTTCGTGTAACTCGTTATACTTTCAGGAAATAAGGGACAAGAAATCAGTCTCATAGTTAAAAGAGCGCGAGTTTGTTAATATCTGCTATCATTAATGATAGGTTGTACAACTAATGAAGGGAAAGCTTGAGGTTGGAAAGCAATGGCAAAATGAAGTACAAAATGTAAGATAAAAATAAACATCTAATAAACTATCACTGAGTTATCGCTACCATTCGAAAATAATTGTTAATGATAAATCCCTTGTCCTAGAAAATTGTAATAAATCATTCTTGATAATACATGGTATATGCATCTAAACACTTTTATTCATTTTTTTCTAATGAATTTTAGATGCGAGACCGCGTGAAAACTTTAGAGGAGGAAAATAAAGCTTTATTAGCTAAAACCAAACTTGCAAATCAGTATGAAGATAAAATTAAGGTAAAAGAACTTGCTACTTTCTTATATACGGGTAACTTAATAACGTAAATATTCTCTCTCTCTATTTATATTTTATACGGTAATAAAGCTCTTATCAGTAGATTATTGTAATAAAATACGAAAGAAAATTATTAGATTAATCAGTTGATGCCAAACTATTTTAGGAATTGTTCAGTGAATTGGACAGAGCAATAAAGAAAATTGAAGATCTTAAATTAGTTAATGAAAAAGTACTGCAAGAAAAAAATAAAATTAGGGAAGAATCTAATAGCTATTACGAAAAAGTGAAAAGTACAAAACAATCTTTAAAAATGTCGACCCAGAGGATCGAAGAATTGGAACGACAAATTAAAATGAAGGAAGAAATTATTAAAGAAGAAACAGCTCAAGTTAACATACTAAGTGAAAAAATCCTATTTACTGGTCGAGAAAATCAAAAACTAATTTCCTCTAATAAAGAATTACAAAAAAAGGTTAAAAAGCGTATACATCAAATGGAAGAATTGGAAAATTCAACTGTATCACTACGTGAAGAAAGGAGTGTATTAGCTGATCAAGTTTCTAATTTATCAGTAGATTTGGAAAGAATGAATAATTTATATGCCAAAGCGGTAAATCCAAGTATGGGCGGGCATTTCAAGGAGTTTGTTAAATTACGCCGTGACTTTAACAACTTAAGAGAAGAGAATGAAACTTTACATTGTAAATTGCGTGTTAAAATGTCGAATTATTTACCTTTATTAAAAGCTAGCGTTACCTTCAAATCATCTACTAGCAACAAGCTTCACAACAATAGCGATGTGACAAGTAGCCGATGGGTTTCGTCCAATTTATTAAAGTAGTTGCTAAATAAAGGTGTCGATCCAATTTACAAGATAGAATATCAACTTTGAAAATTATTAGTTTGCTATCTTTAATTTTACTGAAAAAATCTACTTCATTTATGTCACTACTGATTTATAATTTTTGATAATTATGATTTATAGTACGCTATAGACACTATCGCGTACACGCATTTAATAAACTTTAATCTTGCTAAACAGGGTCCGTAGTAGCATCAACGACTATGATGATTGTAAAACAACGTACTGTACAAAAGTTGATGGGATTGTATGTAACAGATCGTAGATATTGCTAGTACAAAACTGCATACATCTGATATTTGTAAATGATTCATTGTATCAATATTTGTTCTAAGAGCATCAAAATTTTATTAGCTTCACTTAATTAAAATTGAAGGATCTACTAAAACGACGTTGACTTTGTTAAAATATCTTATTGCCAACATCTTATTACGTATTGCTGTCTAATGTGCCATCCATTAATCCTAAGTATAAATAACCAGAAATTGTCTATGCAGTTTTTTAAAAGTAGAGGCGAAAAATTCTATCATCTTTTGAAATAATGTACTTATGCCTTAAAGTATATGATTTTATCATTTTCTATGTCAACTTTAAAGCCAGCTTTGAAAATATCTAGATGGCATTGCTTAATATTTTTGAAATAATGAGCGGTACAAAGAATCGAGAAGTTTTTAATCGATTTCCTTATATTACAATTGTGCTTGAATATCATGTCAGCTTATTGATTTAAAAAGATGATTTTTAAATTCGAAGTAAAGAAATAAAATGATATTTGAATACTTAGTACAATGCGAATACTTGCAAAATAACACATTGCATATATGGACAGCTAGTACTTCATCTCTCTAGATGGGTCCGTTATATGAAAGAATTTGATTTGTTCTATCTTAAATTTCATTATTACAAATAGAGAGCTAATATAAAGGCAGCCAATCTAGCGATTGTCTTCAACCATAATTGTTCCTCTTTGATATCCTGTTAATTCCACAAGAATATAGCGATAATCGTAGTTACCTCTTGATACCTAGCATCAAAAATTATAAAAAAAAGTTATTTTTGTGACATCCAATTTTAAACAAAATAATTTTACATCATTAGAGGTAATACACTTTCACGGAGGATTTAATTTAATTTACATATATGTCATCGCATAAATCATTAACCTCTTTCAAATCGACGTGTACGGTTCCTTTATTCCTTGTACCATTGATATAATATCTTACTCTCATATAGTTCACGTCGTCGACAATATATTCTTGGCTACTGTTAAATTAAAAATTTGTAGTAATGTTAACTTAGGTTAATATCAAATCAATGTACAAGAAAACTTCTTCATTACAATAGGAAAATATGGAAAAATAGCAATTACACTAATCTATAAAAAGCAAACGTGATGATAACGTACGTACATGCAGTAAAATAAGTATAGTATTGCTTAAAATAGCGAAATAGCATCACTATAACAACTTAATGGTACCTAATATTTCGATATCTATTTCTTCCTGACTGATCGCCATGAGCTGTTATTGGAGTGCCAAGAGCATCAATAACCTATTAATAGAGAGTCATTACATCTTCACATTGCAATAGTTAACAACACGAATAGTCATGTCCATGACAATATCTCTAAAGAGATGATAAATAAAAAAGTTCGGATGTTACCTAGACCAGGTATCCTGTATTTAGAAAAAAATTAATTATTATTATGGGAAATAAGTACGTACTTGTTGATTACTCTTGACTAATTTCAGGGTATGAGAATATATATTATTGGCACTGTTACTGGAGAATAATTCCCTAAAAACGCTCCAGAAGAGGATACCTATATTAAGTAAATTTTTAAAACGTTATTGTGATATATACGGGATCGATGTCCTTGCTAAATATTGCGCTACACTGATTGCATTAGCCATTACGCGTTGACAGCAACGCTACTGCTCAGTTGATCATAATTACGAGTAATAATGCGATATTAAATTTTTCTGAGGCGGAGTAGAAAACAGTGGACGCGTATGTAAGAATGTACATGGTTCTTTTGCTATTCTAACTAAAATTAATTTGATAACAATCCTACAATATTTAACATTAGTTTATTTTTACGCTTGTGTAACCTAATATCGATAAGCAAAGGCTATCATTTCGCAATTAGTTTATCTTACACTAGTAATATACCTGTAATACCAAACCCAATTAGTATAACTCCAAAGTAGCTTGCATCCTTACCGGCTTTAGCAACTGCAAATTATAAAGAGAAGTCTGATCAGGCTTAATCCTCACCACGATATAATTATTTCACCAATTATGATATGCGTAAACATTCTAAAATTTATCGTGGGTATATTTAATAAGCTTAATAAGTGTGACGATGTGTTCATAGAACCTCAAATGGGTTATACTTTCTCTTCAGAGAAATACAAGCGCGTACTGTATACTCTTATTAAAGCGCTATAAAAGTAGTTCTATTCAAGTTCCTGCATTCGTAGAAGAGTTTGCAAAAGTGCCTGTATGGTAATGGTAAAAACGGTCATTTATAGCTTGCGAATGATGCAATTATATGCCTTCTATTGCAAGGTAAACTAACAATCGTGCATATTGATTGTCGATAGCAAGTTAACAAAAAGGAGTTTTTTGTAACTGCGGACTGTCCTACAATACTAAGACTTGTGTAAGTAAGTGATGGAATAATTAGGACTTTACCATTGTACATAGTACAACATACACGTATACACACAGATCTATTAAGGAGTTGTTGATAGTCCCTAGGCTACACCATGATTATGGTAGCTTGAGACCATTTCATGAAGTATTGCACATTTTCAGATTGATGTTGAGTTATTTACAGTATATGAAAACGTATACAAAGTACGCGTCTATGAGTATTCAGTAGTCGTCTGGGCACCTTTTCTCGCAGTACTTAGTTGAGTTTCCGCCCTAGAATCCGATTCTGTTAGAGCACTTCGAAATTGCTTCTTCTCATTGTCACTATCCGTGGAATAAAGTTGAGTAATCATCAATATCGCTGGCTTTGGTTGATATTGACGGTATGAAATAACGTTGCCAAGAGAAACAGCCGATGATCGACACCATCGAGCATCTATGTTTACAATGCTATAATTTCTACATTGCTTTGGCAATATAGAAAGGAGGCTGCCGAAGATAGAGGATGATCTATTCGACAACTGATAGATTTTAGTAATACACCGATGGGTTGTAGAAGCGCTAGCAACGATCATATCTTCACCAGTTTGAAATTCTTTGCTTGCCAAGCTTGTTTGACGACAGTCTTGATTTGCTAATGGAACAACGTTGCAGCTTTGCAGGTGGATCTGGGAACTGCTGCAAGTTAGGCACAAAAGTAGAGAAGGGACGGACGGAAAATAGCCTTCTCGTACTCTAGAAATGGGTAAGAAGACGATGTTGCTGGTCATTTTAACTATACCGTATATCCGTAACCGCTACAGTATATAGCAGTACCAGGCTTACCAGCAACGTTGATAGTACAAGTGCACGGTTCCAAGCATCCAGCTGTACAGTGTACAGTTTACAGTACACTGTACTCTGTACTGTACACAATGCACTGTGTGATGTTGGTGGTAATTGGTAATAAGCAAATATTTTACTACATCTATATACAGTATAATATTTGTACAGTACTGTTAGGGTAGCAGACCTCTGCAAACGAAGTTAAAAGTAAAAGTAAAGCTCACGCCAGCCCAAACCCAGTAACATCAGCCTGCCCATGCAGAGATCTGCTGTAACGGCACAGTAAAATCGTTTGTAAAAACTTTGAGTTTGCCAACTAACAGTATAAATTATATAGGTTCTAGTCCAGTTGATTGACCAGCCGATAGTGCTTTGCTTTTTTTCCAGCACAGCTACACCAGTCTACAGTACAGTACAGTACTCAGTGGATCGTTGTACTGTACTGTACACTGATAGCACAGTACAATGTACTGTACAATTACAAAACCCACAGCAATCGGCTTACTGTACGCAGGCGTACTGTACCATAGCAAAACCATAGGCCTGGGTCCTTTCCTTCCATGTGTCTGTAGCAGGTTCTGCGGTTGTACAATTACAAAACCCACAGCAATTGGCCTACTGTACGCAGGCGTACTGTACCATAGCAAAACCATACGCCCGAGTCCTTTCCTTCCATGTGTCTGTAGCAGGTTCTGCGACTTCCTTTAGTCAAAATACGCGGGTAACTTAAAAAGCAAAATGGAGCTAACTGAGAAGTGTAAGTAGAAGGCGACGTCTGCCAACTAGAACCATATTCACACGCTACTGTAGTAGAATTGTGCCACTAGACATCCTTAGCCGATGAGTTTTATTAGCTACTTACAGTATATGATTCTGTAATTTGTAAATGCTATCAAAATACGCGTACTGTATTCGTAATGGTGGAAGAATCATCAAGGAATCTTCCTTCTACAGTATGAAAACTACGCCTGTAGTACTGTATTGACTGCATTTCAATCCAACGGTATTAATTATTGCAAGTGAAAATTACATCTTCACTAGTTCATAGTTAGCTGAAATAGATTAGTAGACCAACGACTTACTGATAGCTCCCCGTAGAATTGATTTTATTGTCAAGATTCTAATGACTGGCCAGTACACCAACACTACAGCATCAATCGTCCAGTATAGTCGAATTGCTTGACAGTAGAACTACTATACTGTAAATGTTTATCCTAGCAAAACTAACCTTGCTATTCTAAAAACGCAGGAAAGCAATTACTTTGAAACGGTTAAGGATTGATGGAATGCTTATCCATTTACCAGTATCTTATTTTATTTGAACCTATAGTAGCCGATTCCTTACCGATCGCGATAACCGACGAAGATGTAGAGAAAAATCCAGAATTTTGTAAACTACTCGATTCTCTTGCTTACAGATTGACTTCCAACGGTATGACGAGGTCTTTAGATGAAGAATTAAATGCTGTAAGTGAGATTTTGGACTGAAACATGAAAATGATACCGTTGCATGTACCTTAAAAGTAGTTCTGCTTGATTATTCCATAGATGAAGAAATGTTGATTGCTATTATAATCATTACTAAATTAGTTGGTAAATTTATAGGCTAATGAGGAATTAAAGAAACAAAAATTTGCATTTCTACAACAACGGACCGTATTGGATGAACTCAAAGAATACTTAACTGAATGTGAATCCCTCCCGAAAAACGGATCGACGTCGATAAAAAACAACCAGGTTGTCTTGACCAATTCTTAAAATATTCGCAGTACTCTATTTCGTATCGATGCTAGAATACGTTCTAAAAATATTGTTGACTACAGCACTATGCTATAGGTAAACGTCAATGCATATACAATCTAAAAGCTAACTGATTGCGTAATAAAATTGTTTAGCTACAGCTATGCAAAATCGTAAGCGAATCATTAATGTTGGCTGAACTCAACGATTACGTCAATTTGGGCACTACAAAAGACGGTACAAAGCTTGCACTACTTGGTGTTAGTTGTGAACATCTATCGCAGTTGAATCCATGTAAAAGATCTGTGCAACAGGTATGATTCATAATTTATGATTAATACATAGATAGGAAATATGCATTATACAGTACATACGTTAACCTGCTTTGTTGCTTCTTCTACCAGTATCTATCTTCGGTACAGCAAGTACTAATCCCTGAAATAGAGACTAGGCTCAGGAAGAAATGTGAAAACCTTGCTGAATATTATAATCCTAATAGTCAAGATGGTCAGTTTAGTAAACATTAATTTATTTATATACTGTATAAAGTGTCGGCAGCTTAATGTATTATTTTGTTAGCATGAAAGTTAACAGAAACATCTAATTGCACAATATCTTGCATACAAATTTACATCTATTGATTCGTATGAATTATTTGCTCTTGCTCATTACTATATACCGTAGATGGCGAACCTATGACGTTTGCTAATATCACTGAGCTACCTGAATTAATTGAGCGAGATAAACGTCGTGTTGATGATGAAAAGGCTAATTTAACTAAGGTTGCAGTTCTTCGTCGAAGAAAGTTCTGGCAATACTACCAGGTATAGGAAAACATTACTGTATGGCACCAAGCCATGCAACTCTAGTATTTGCAATATTCTTACTTCTGCAATAGCAACTATTTATTGACAGTACGTATCCGTCCTAGGAAATTCAAAAATGTATCGAAATATTGGATGAGATTATTCGTAAATATCGCTTAAAGTATCAGGCGGACCATGATACAATAACTTGCAATTGGTTTGCTGCGAAATGTGATGCCATGTGCAACAAATTGAGGTGAGTTTTAAATTAAGAATACCTAAATTATTTATAACAATGTTTTATTATTTTGAAACGGTATTACTCCAAATTTATGCATTAATATATATTTTTCCTGACAGTGTACTCGCAAATCATTTACTGAAAGATTCATATACCAATGAAACCGTATCTGCACTAAATCAGATAAAGTAGGTGGCTGATATTCAGATTATACCAAATGAAAAGAAATGCTTATGTTTACATATATATTGTTAGCATGGTCTTAATGAGCAAATTAGTTATCAAACATTCTTTAATATTTGATATAGACATCACTTGGTCACTGCACAAGCTGAAGTAGAAAATGAACTGACAACAATTTCCGAATCATTACGCTCATATGAAGCCATTGGAATGGGATTTGATAAAATTGTACTTCAATATGCCGAAATAGCGAAAAGTATCGATGAAAAACGATGGGCGTTATCACAAATTAACGAAAGTTCAAATCGTACCTGATTATAAAATGACACGATGTCCATTCTATTTACGTTCAACTACCTCAGTAAATTGTGTATTAAAAAGGTATATAGAGTCGGTGCCTATGCTTCAAGATGATTACCATATCAGTTACATTAAACCCTATTCGCTATAGAGACTGCCTCTTATATAATTTACTTTTCATCAATAATTGAAAATATAAATTCTAAGGTAAAATTTAATGCGTAAGAAGATAATTTTATATACGACAACATGTTACCAACTGAATCTATAATAGCTCAAGTTAGTCAATCTGTTTCAACTTTGTAATGTTTTCATCCTAGTAATTACTGAATTCAGTAATACTAGTATACCGCCTTAAAGTAGCAAAACCAACTTCAATACTACACTAGCATCCTGTATATATATGTTATTATATATCAAACGTGGAATGTCACTTACTGTATAGTGAACAAGGGTCACAATCTATCTTAATTCTAAATTAGTTACTGTATACTGTACTGTATAGTGTTATACTGTATGCTGTCAAGTAACCCGTATAATTAAGCGCCGGAATTTAGTGGCAATAATTAATTAAAATTGCGTTATAGCCAGCTATTTTTGTAATCAGTCATGTCCAAGATATTCTTAATTATTTGGATGTAAATACTATTGTCGGGATGATGGGATTACTATTTGTTAGGTTACCGCAAATAAATTGATTTGAAATGGGAAATCCTTCATTGGTGGATACAAAAACTATGTTTCTGCAATCTATTTATTGTTATTCTTATTGTTTATGATCGGAATCAATAATGCGCATAGTCTCTAGGTACTAATTTGTTATAACAAACTAAATCTGTGTAGAGAAAAGTTTGACATTTGCACCGCTGTCATTACTGGGCTTCAATGAAAATCAAGTAAATGAAAAAAAAGGTTTTATCTAGGTTAGCTACTCCAATTCCTAGTCCGGCAGATAATATGCTGTAAAGACATTTTCAGGTCTTTGGCTTTTCATTTATTACAAGTTCAAGAATTGATTTTTATTAGTAAAATTGTATGATTTAAAATCGTTTTATAGATTTTCATTATTATCACAAGTGATATGCTAGAGCAGATCACGAATGCATAGATTAACTAATCATAACATGATAATCCATGTAAAATGTTTACTGCAGAACTTCTGTAAGGCTTACTGTAGCCCTATGAATTACGGTATACAATGCACTTGTATCATGAAATTTACTTTCGTACATTCTGTGAAAAATTTCGATTAGCTTGTATCATAAGGATCACGATAAAACACATTGCAAATATTGCTAAATTAACTAAATCTCTGATGTGTCTTAAACGGTTGATCGCGGTCCAACAATTTTATTGCCTAGTAGTTCTTCGAGGCAAATTTCATCATTGGAACAAGGTGAAACCAGGCGGACTCAGCAATAACAAGTATAAAATATTATTTATATATCAGTAAATTATTTTGTGCTGGCTGCTACCTGTATCTTTATCAGTTCATCTAGTCAAATTTCAACAATAGAAAATATAAACATGCATATCTTTTTAGACTATACAGGCATAACGTACTATCATGGACAATTCCGACACGTTTGCTAATGGAACCTAGTTAATTTAGAAATTATGATAGCTTTTAGTCAGTGAATAGATACCTATCTGGCTATAGAAAGGTTGCAGCATGGCAGTCAAACTAGTGATGATTAAATTTCTTAATTCTGCCCTTGGCCTTACCGCGTTTCCAACTATACTTGCGACTTCAAGTTATACTTGCTAATAATTTGCATACGCTGCACCGTAGCAAACAAATCATCGTTTATTTTTCATCACTAATATAATGATTTTGCATTAATGAAGTAAAAAGATCAACAAACTGCGTCAAAATACGATAAACTGCAACAAAATTTTATTTGTAAGATGAAGTAAAAATTGCGCTGCCAATTATTCGTGTTGCTTATGTTTCAGCTAGATTTTTAGTCTCGGTATAAGGTATAGCAAGCTAGAACAGCCTATACAGCTGCGTTCATATCGTAGTTACAACTAAAAAACTTTTGTACAGGCTTAAGCTAGCCTAAATAGTAACAGATGAAATACATAATTAGTTACCAGACAATCATATACAGGGTAACTATAGTCTTGATAATATTTGTTATTACAATAAATCAGACAGAAAATCTAACAGGGACGAAGTTAAACAAAAAGTTATAACCTCAATAAACAATTGTACCGTATAGCATAAAATACCACGGGCATGATATTATTAAACGAGTATTAAATCATCGTCACTATCCACAATTTCCAGCCGGGAACGTTTGACGCTTGGATAGTCTAAATCATCTGCGGTTCGTTTCGTTTGTCCGATATTGTTACGACTATTAGACTCATCTTCTGTTGATGGTATATCACCTTCAATTTCAAATTCTCCATCTATTAAAGAATTGCTGTAAAAATTATAGATTTTACAATCGTTAATTTCGAGCTACTGATAAAAAGCAATCTGGGTGGCATAAGAACATACTCATGGATGACTTTTAACTTTAGTGAGTAATTTTGTAAGAAATCGTCTGCTTTCAACTGAGAGCCGTTACGGATACCAAACTGTGACAATTTGCAATTGATAATGTCTGAAATTTACCAATAAATTATAATAGTTTAAGTCTAGAACGATATCGTAGGTTCCCAAAGTATTTGACATCAATAAAAAATGTATGATATGACCTTCTGTTTCCCCTTCTTCACTAGAAATTAAAATTCTTCCTGTAGGTGAGGTAGAATACAAGCATTGCTTCTGGTTAACCATACGTACATACAATTAATTATCACATAAGCTGTACAGTAGCTTGCATATAGGTTCACATACCCGATCCATCGTCAACTTCAACATCAGGAGCAATCATTCCGATCCTTTTCTTTAAAATCTGAGGAAAATTGAATCGCTAAATCAGTCATAGTGTAAATTTAGCAAACCATTAAAATGAACTACTGTACCAACCTCTTCCCCGAGATGTCTTATTGTAATATCATCTATATTAATTCTAATACATACCTACAAGATAATGACAAATAGTTTCGATAGCGTGAACAAGGTAATTAACTGTAAATTATTTATCCATTTAGCAGCCACAGTACCTCAGGCTTTGAGGAACAAACATAGCATCCCTTATTGGGTTTCTCAAGCAAACATGGGATAATTAATTTTTTCATAGTTAGATTATTCTTGTACATTATCACCTATAAAAACATCCAAAACATACGATAAGAAATGTGCATACTCGTAGCTATTCATGCTCTATTAGGGAACGTCATTCACAAGCACTTACAGTTCGACACAAATCTAGCCTCCCTTTTAGAATTTTTAAGGCCTCAGTTACTATTAGACCAGCAACAATTGCGTTCGTAGTAGCAATTGCTGGTATAATATTTCCTGCCATGGCTATAGTGATTAACATTTTAAAAAAGTTACATCAGCTATAGTACCGATTTTAAATCAAGTTTCAAGGTACTATATCAAACAAACAACTTTCTCAACGGAAGAATTACAATTCGTTAACAGCTTACATTTAACGTCGAACAGACTTTTCAATGGTATACCAAAAACATGAGCTCTCACATTTGCTGAACTTGCTACAAAATGCATAGCCACGTCATCATCCTTTATTTCGGGATATGTATATGTATGTCAATTATACAGACTATTGAAGATTAAAGTGATAAAACACAGAAAATCTATCATGACTGACCTTATCCCAAATTAAGTAAGATTTCGACATCTCCAATCGCTTTTTCAGCGAAGTAACGCTAAATTATAAAGTGAATTTTTAGACCAAAGTTGCACTGCATAAAGTGAGGGCCGCATACGTATCCGAGATATGCATACAGTATAACAATACTTTCTTTACAAGTTACCTGTGTAAAAATTCTTGTACACATTCATGAATGTTCCAAACTAATTGATCTTTCAAAACAGTGTTATCATTACTGTTATTGCCATTGTTATTACAAGTACTTCCATCAACTTTACCTACACATTGTTAATTAGAGCGTTAGTGAATTAGTAATTGATGCAGAAATTGTTACAATACTTGATACATAAAACAGCTGTCACCTTCCAATAAGTTATCAAAATCTAATGGCACAGGTGGCTTTCTTTTTTGCCAAAGTTTGTCCATCTTTAGTAAGTACTTTATGTCATCTTGAAATAACTAAGATTAACCAAGTACTTTTATGAGTAATCTCGAAAAAGTTTGTACATTTTGTCAGATAGTGTAGGTATTCAATAACCTTTCGTAATAATAACTGGGGATCATAACCCACAGATTCTGCCCAGGGCCGGGTTGAAATTTTAAGATTACTATCAGAGCCCTGGTCGATTTGCTTGTTCGCATCTATATAAGCGTAGTGAATAGAGGAGTTAGTTCGTTTTCAATTCATCTTCGACTTCTTTCAGGCTTGACCGGGAAGCAATTTCATAAAGCCGTGGAACAAGGAAATACTAAAGAATGTTCACTGCATGATTAAATATATACCTGTAGCTTCAGGATCTTCGGCATCCGGAGTAACTTCGTTATCTTCATCAAGCTCTGCAAATAATTGGCTGCATCGGAAAAATTTGAATAGGAAATTATTAAATAATTATAACTTGTTAATATCGATAGTATCAACACATTAAGTACTAACTTAAATAAATGTTTCGCCCAAACTATACAATGAATTGGCTCTGTTGGGGTATTACGTATAGTACAACTGGGATAGCTTTTTTGAGTAGGCTTTGGTTGGCATTCGTAGCACTCAGTTTCTCCCTATATGCAAATTAGTATAAGGGTGGTAACAACTTAACAAAATGAAATAATCAATTATGCAGTATTCTTTGCGTACATAATCCATTGTAAGTGACTGATGAACGATTAATAAAGGAGACCGATATTGCTATATGAATTAATAGCAACTATATTGGACACATATATTACCAGATCTGATAAAACGTGATAACTAATTTAATAAAGAAAAAGTCATGAAAGTTTTGCTAAATATCTTACTTTCAACACTAAATTATGTCTATCTTTATCTATGAAAGAATTAAATTACAGCTAAATTGTTATTTCACGTAGTTATTGTAAAGAAAATTTGCCTTTTTGATAACCGTTACTTGACCAAGATAGCCTGCGCTGCCACTTTCTATTAGGGGTACATCAGCAGCTAAGCACATTCTATTGACGTGATTGCGAGCAGCTATATATATAATAAATAATTAGCAAATGTCCATATGAACATAGGAAAAAAAGAATTAATGATTCCAGATTACAATTGAAAAAAATTGTATTTTAATACAATGTTGAGCATTATCGTAAACGAACCCCGATTATCTAGGGCATTCAACACTATCGTAAATTGTCGAAAGTAATCCACATCATAGTCAGGACTGAAATATAAAAATTAGCAATGAATCAATTGCAATAGATGCAATTCGAATTGAGATAACAGAAAAAGAAATATTGATGCAGGATAAATTAATGACGCTGCGTATTGGATTCTACTGGAGACCAGTGAAAAAAATTTAAAAACTAATATTGCTGTGGAAGATATAAATATTTTGCACGTTTAATTTCATAGTAATGTACTATAGCCATCACTGAATTCAGAATTATACAACGACAAGAACTTTAGGATATAACCATAATATGGAAATCTTACTTAATAATACTATCATGTCTTGCTAAAATGTTAACATCAGGATTGAATCGTAAAGCATTCTCCTTTGCAACCTGTAATAACAAATGATTAGATGACAACTGTTAGTAATTATACTGTAATAGTTTGTAACAGGAGAATTTTGTACCGTACTTAAAATTACAGTGTTAGAGCTACTTTTGAAGCAAACAATGGCAATATATACAATTCTTTTTACGATAACATTTGTCTATCATAAGGACAATACGATCCAGTTAGAGATGGATTAAATAATAAACTCGTATATATTTCTATTAGGTTGGATTAGCTAAATTTCGCTTAGGGTGCTAGTAATTCTTAGAATGCTACAGATATCAAAAGGCGTAGCACTAGTCTCTTAAGAGAATAATATTGAATATGTGTACATTCTCGTAATCAATCCTTACTAGAGATTTAAATAACAATATTAAGTTCAGTCGAGATTGTAAAGGCGCCATATTCAAAACTTAAGTAGAAAATATCTTCAAGTATAGAAATTTGTTATATAATAATACACTGATAAAAGCTAACAAGATTAAAAATAGCTTCAAGTCCAAGATGATGGATGTTAGTAAGTGCTCATTATCATTTCGAATGTTAAAAGTACAAGAATTATCATGACTTCCAAATTACCTTAGCCTTACTTTGACCAACATGTTCTTTTCGGAATAGAAATTGACGGTTTAAATTACTGACATCGATGGTGTCCAAATCGACCTAAAGATCAAGGTAAAGCATTGATAGGCATTTAGATAGATAGATAACGTGGATACGTGTATTATCACAAGTTTTATGAAAATAAAATAATATCTTGAGAAATAGAACACATAACACATGCATCACCACTACTATAACATTATTTGGCTTATTCCCCATTCAGTCCTACTTAGACTGTCATGATGTTACTCTACCATTAAAAGCAAGTTTACAATGTCATGTAAGTAAAATTTAGCAACTTGTCGGCTATTTATTTAAATTTAATGCCTTTAAAAATTTTGTATTCATTCTCTTCATTCGCCTTCTGTTAATGTAAATTAATACAGTAAGTTTACAAGTTTTTTACCAATTAGTTGCATTCTATCTTATCATTTTACTCCGTCATATTGTATACTAAATATCCGTATCAACTACCAAGATCGCGGATGATGGAATATCTTGTCTATCGTTGATAAAACTCAAGTAATAATTGATCTACGATTCTGTTGTCCATGATATCTTGGTTAACAATAACGTTCAAAATTATGAATGGACATCTGATTCCAGAGCGTTGTACCTCTACATTTCAGAGTAGAAATATTCATACTGTATACGTATACAGTATTTCAATACGTTAAATAAGCTGACATATCTATATATCTATATTTATCTTCCATGGAAATTTTAACTTTCCTGTTTAGTCATTAGTAGATCGCAAAATAAAAAAAGATCACGAGCAACACACTCTATTTACTGAATAGCTGCAGAAGTTGCATTACCATCATACGATAGGACACCTGTGATGGATAAACATTGGACTAGAGACTAGAGATACTGATGCTAGGATAAATAAATAGCATACCAATACTGATCAGGCCAACCCTCAGTTAATGGCTACTAACTTCATCAATCACATCACGATTGATGATACAGTAGCAAGATAGATGAAGGCAAGAAAAAATGTAGGATGTGGAATATCAAGAGTAAACATACACGTTTGCTCGCGATAATTTAGTATGAAAGAATAGTGATTAACGCGCTGATCCAATGAGGACCTGCAGACAAGAAGGAATGGAATGTCAATCCACTTTGATATTACAACTAGGTTCATCAAACGAACAAAATCGTACGGTATTTCAGTAAGGTTCAATCCAAAAAAAAGACACTATCATAGCTATGCTATTTCCCAAAGTAGAAGATGAATAAGCATGATGGTACTACAGATTTTATAAATGCTTTCGATTAATACGTCAGCAAAGAGGATGATTTCCAAGGTAAGCATCTATGGTGTACTTTTGTTACTAGCAAGTGGAAATAGTCTTCATACTAATTCATTAGCATCGTTTTAATCTACATGAACGAGATGGTGAACATGGTAGACAGGATTGATGAAAGAAATTTTCTCCTGGAAATGATGATATCATCGGATTGAAAACTAGGAAGAAAGATTGTTCATCCTGTTGACACTATTCTACTCCCATCGTCCTGGGCATCATGTACATCGACATCGTGATATCAGTTGATGTACATTCCATTGGATCTATTTCTACCACCATCATGACTAGTATTGAATAGACTATTTATGTATAATGGCGACGAATTCATCAATCTTACATCCATAATTATAATCAATAAGAGTTTGTTGATTGCATCGCTAGCCATCTTGACAAGATTGGTACTAAGAATGGCCTTACCAATTCGATATTGTGAAAGCCAGTCATAACTAAATTCTTGATCAATTCACAACCGATGCCGCCAGCACCCACCACTAAAACTCTACATTCAAAGAGTTGCTTTCGTAGTTGTGTTAACATCATCAATCGATGCCTAGTAGATCCAGATTACCTACAAATAAGCGCAAGAAGATATTTCGACTGCAATTAATCCAAGTTTCATGAAGATGAATTTGCAATGATTTCATCGCGCAGTCTCAGTGAGACGGTAAAATGACGCGCGCAACGACTCAGTCAGTGCCTTCGTCTGGAGACTACGCCTTCGATTGGTAGTATTACCGACCATGTAGCAGTGCGCAGTACAGTTCCTACACTGCGTATTGTATATCGTAGACTGAGTCATATGGGTTTTTGCATACGCTGTCTTGACTGGTCTTCTGAGTTAGTACTCGTGCAGTAGTGCGCAATACAGGTGCTACACTGGATTATACTGAGATATTGCAATTTTGTTGTAGGCACTTTTTCTCATCTTCCTGGTCCTAACTTGATGCCATCATATACTGTAATATTTGACTGCATATTGTGCATAATCCATAATCCATGTTATACAGTAGCAACATAGATTCCTTGTGCTCTAACAACGACTATTTAATCTAAGTTTATCACACCAATCTCCCTCCCCTGCCACATTAATAAAGCTAAAGGAGAGAAAATCGTTTACTATACTTTCCTCTCCTTGGTATAGACGTAAATCACGTGACTAATTTGGCAACGGACGGACAGATTGAATGTCTACGAGGGACTCACGACGGGAGACAGACAGCCCATTGGACATTCCGAGGAACAGAGTGATCGGGCCGATCATTTTCTAGTCATTCTACTATACGCTATGACTGACACCGTCTACTATACTGTATAAAAGTAACCAAGCAGCTAGTTGATCTTTCATTTTGACTACAGTAAATGACTATTGCTAGTCCGAGTTATCCTTCTCTTTCTTTTGACAGTGAAACAAGTGCCAAAATAGAGCAATAACTACCGGTAATTTCCTTGCTGATCTCCGATACGACGTCCAAAAATAAATGACACACAGCTAATTTAATATGGGATTATGTTAGTAGCCATACTAAGGTCACGGTAGGTTCTCGTGTAGTACAGTATGTTGTACAGATTACGGCTTGACTGCTCCGTCTTAGTCTACATACTGTACTGTATCACTAGTTTTGTACTATACCCATCGTACCACCTTAAGATGATATACATACTGAAAACATAATTACTGGGCTATAGAAACGCATGTAATTTTAGGGATTGTTTGATTTATGACTGACATACACTCGCCCGCTAGACACTATAGTGCTACTGTAGTGGAAGGTGCAGCTGCATGAGCTCGAGCTAGCAACCATGGCAGCAGGCAGTTCGTTTCTGCCCTATCAAGGGAAATTACTAGTAGAGTCTGGACCATTCCAAAATACTGATGAATACATTGCTAAGAGAATTGAAGAACATACCTTTAATTACGGCGTAAGATACAATATAAAGATTAGACGTTATTCTGTTGCTATGTTATGCGCATTAGAAAGCAGCTGGATGCATGCAACAGCCAGATGCATGCATGCATCGAGATCTCATCAATTGCCACCAATGAATCCAATTCGCAGTCAATAAGCAATCATTTATTAATACCTATACTTCCATCCTATTACTTTTTACTGATAGAATGGATATATACAGCATACATTCGTTTGTGTCTTCATGATTAGACTTGATGCCGGTAGAACTGTAGTATAATCGTATATTATAATTACAACGGATTGCATGGATAATTGTCCTAGCTGTTGAGTGTACTGTATGGCCTACAACTTGCACTCGATTCTTAGAGAGAGAATGGATGATATGCTCTTATGTAGTTTCATAACAATGATTGACTCTGCAGTGTTAGAATAGCCGATAGTGAGCTTAAATTGAGTCTAAATGGTAAGTTCTATTATCATAAATATTTTAGATAGCACACACTAAATGCAAAGGTCGCAATAATACCACCCAGTTGAAGTATAAGATTGTCAACGCGTAACACATAGACTGTAAACTTACTGTAGTTCAATATTATTAGTCTTGTATATTAATTAAAAAGTCATTTCTACTAAAAATTTACGATCACATAATGACAAAATAGATACAGGTATATTCTTACTGAGGTCTTCAATGAATGGTTCATAACAGCCTGTCGATAAAACCTTAAATGCTATAGTACAGTATATCATAAATCGATTATACGGCTAAAAATAACTAATTGACAGTGAACAGGATACAAAATAGTAATAAGTAAATTGATGTTTTATGAAACTGAAATAGGTAAATGATTATGAAAAAAAATATAGAACTTCATAATTCTACATTTGTGCTATAATAATTGCAGCAAAGTGCGGCATCATTTATATTAAATTTATTATTGACCATCTTCCATTATGTTACTAAAACAGGTAGAAGTTGTTATACCCGGAATAGACACGCTACCACCGTTAATTTCCGATTGGTTTACTTCAACAAGCAACTGTCATTATTTTGCTCATCTACCAGTTCATAAGTTCATCGACCTTGATTTTATCAATAATGTCATAAGGAAAGGTATAGCAATCTTCATGATAACTGAGATTTATCTTTTGATTTAAAGAAGCACACTTATGTCATAAATGGGAATAATTCTGAAATTAATATTTTAGCATCTACAGTCAATTTGACATTTACTATATTAATATACAGGTAAATTTACAGCTTTATCTTGCTCTCACGTGGATACTGGCGATAGTATTGCTATTATACCAACAGGTATCCAAGATTATAACCATCATTATAATCAATACCACACATATGCATATGTTGTCATTCTAATTTAAAGTAATTATGTTATAAAATTGACAGATACAGCTATACCATATAACAACGGTTGAACTTTTAATCTTTGCAGGTATTTTATATTTTTCATTGATGAAAGATACTTATCAGCAATTAGGATTGAACGGAAAGTCCTCGAATTTCAAAGGAATTGATCGATTTAGTAAATATTATATTTTACAACATCAGGCAAAAGCATTTAATATATATCAGTTTAAACTATACCTACATAATTTCAATGCTCATAACGCATCTACATTTTTTTTACCTAAAGTTGTACAGATAGATCTTCGCGATCCTGCTATCAAATCGGGTTCTAAATTATATAATCGTATTAACTGGTGCCTAACGACTAACTTTGATATCAAATTTAATTTTTTAATGTCATGGATTCCTGGTATGTAACCAATCTTATTCTTTCTAAATATTTCTATTCTATTACCTTTTTGTTGCTAGTAGAAGACTGTATAGCAATATCCGTAAACGTAACGCAATTTATATTAGTGCAATTGGAAAGGATACATGAATTATTTGCTATTTTTAGACCATGATAACCAATTTAGATTAGAGAGCTGGCTAGAAGGACACAAATACTCAATTAAGCAGTGTTCAAGTATCCGTAAACATCATGAAAATTTATCTGTACCAGAAATCACTTGGTCATACCCGCAAGGATTTGTAGATGGTGTTGAAGATAAGAGCTGTAACATCTCTAACTTTTATGAATGGTTAGGAGCGCTATCATGCGATATTGACAGGTAAGTAGATATTATACTGACGCATTTATTACAATCATTTAAAATATTTGCTCCTAATTTTTTGCTATTTGAAAATTCATTAAATGGCGATATTTTAATTTCTTAATTTCACAGTTCTGTTGGATCACCAGACAATTTCATATCAACCTATACTTGCCCAATACCTAATTTTACTGTATCGAATTCCATCACCAGTAGATGTTTAGGCTTTATTTCTACTAATCAGATTAACAATCTAGTGCAAGATATTAGGTAAAGTTTCTGGTCAATAATTTTGTTAATAAATAGAATGTGTTACTTATTTTCTGCTAAATATAAATGCCAAAAAGGTTACGAGCGCTAATTTTGTTTAAATTGAATTAATCAGAAACCGTATTAGTTGGCCTGAAGATATTCCTTGGATAACCGTCAACGTATGGGGATTTCACGATAGTCCAGTATCATGGAAGGGATTTGAGCATAATTATTTTGTATGTGGTGATAATAATTACACTATAGTAATATTTCCGGGAACCTCTACTATTTGGTATATTTTTGCCACATCGGCGTACGATTCATATTCTTAATACAATAGTCATTCTAATTATTTTTCATATTTGGCTATACTACTAGCACAAATCTGTATATATATATATATACTAACATATATACATATATGTCTGCAAGTATAACAGATATTGGATATATCGAGCTGATTATATATGTATTATTAAAAGGAGTTAATACTTGTTAACAATTTTGCATGTAATAAAATTTTGATGGTTCACGAAATCTTCTTAGGCTAACCGAATCCTAAATTAGGTTATTTGCTAGTATCAGTAATTACTGACTTGATTTGAGGTGATACATAATTTTGCATGCAGAATCGGCGGACGCCATGGTTTAAGGCCGAAAGCCCTTTACAAGCCAATTGAATCTAAAATTATGAATCTATTGAAAAATTTGTTTATTCGTGTTGTAACACAATATTCTCGTACATAGGGCATTAAAATACCATAACTGGAAGCCATACACCTTGTGTATCACTCTAAAATTGGTTCTTATTTAATATGATGCACTGTTTAGTGTTTATATCTTCATTATCGTGGCTGCCTATAGAGTTATTGCGGTAATTAATTTAAGAACATTAAAATGAAACCAATTTTGAAATTTCGGTAATAGCCTGCAGTAAAAAATCTCACAACCGTAATTTCGAATAATTGCAAAGATAAACATGTCTGAAAGATTAATGCTTTGCGTATAATATAATTTAAGGTTGTACAATATATGAATGTATGGATGTGTAAAGTCTATTCTGAAAACTCTAAACGCATCTTTAAAATGTAAAGTATTCAGATCTTATTTACAATGTACATTATTACCGTCATTAGATTACAATATGCGTTAGATGATTTCGATCGATATGCTAAACATTACCAAAATGATAAATATCTTAAATTATACATAATATCATGCTAAGCTTTTACATAATATTATGCGTTACATTCAACTTAAATGTAAAGATGTCATTAGCTTAGAACACGCATTATCTTAAAACAGAAGGCGATCTTTGTTAACACAGTAAAAAGTTTTTTAACACTGTAGATACGAGTACATAAATAGTTTCTAATGAAATAATAAAACCAGCGTACGCTGTTGGCAATTCAATAATATATTAGCGGAATGTAATAGTTACTGCAACTACAGACACGATACTGGTATAGAAATAAATTTGTGTAATCAGTCGTGTACGTAAAACCGTTATCTCTTTATGCTTTCATCTCTCTAATTTTAAAGAAGAAAATTGCATCGAATACTCGCTTAAAGTCATCGATATATTTTCCCGCAATTGGGGTAAAATTCCATTAGTTTATTAGTTATAAGAAATAACTTGCGAATTATTCACGTTAGCTCCTACCAGATTTTTTGGTTATTAATAAGGCCAGATTTTGATTATCCATGCGAGAATCATAAAATAGCAATATTTCGAGAACAAATATAGCATGATTTAAAATATGCTATTTGCTGATAGCCAGGGAGACAAGGTATTTCCTTATATCTATGTGTAGAGTATACTTAACATGTTTGAAATGAATTTTTTAGCCATGCATAAGTTTTAAATTTTGGGTATGAATTATTGATATGAAACTATAAATAATTAATCATCAATCAGTCTTGGAATATTACAGTATTTATCTCTCAATAAACTGATTTGTAGCAATATTTTTATTTTTAGGTAGAAATCGACCATCGACAAAACGCAATCGAGTCAAATCGTTGAAATACTTGTTGTAATCATCTGGAGCTCGATGTAGACCTAATGATAGATGTGAAAGATAGGAAGACGCTGTTGATGATTGTTCTAATGGTTTCAAGTGGTAGCGATCACTGCTAACCGGTTGGATGGTCATTTTATTTACTGACAATTCAGGATTGCTTATCTTACCGGATTTGGTTAATTGCACCTGATGTTGATTATAATTTTTTTGACACAGTATTTTATGGTTACTATCCTGATTAAGATATTGTTGATTTGAAGCATCTTTAGCGCAATTATCGTCATCGGATTTCATTTTTGTAATATGAAGAGCTTTACTTTTCTCACCATAATTAAGGTTGTCATCTTGATGGCTTCTAGAAATAGTATGGCCGTTATATTGATGTTGTGGTAGTACCGGCGGTTGTTGATCGTCTATAATACCATGTCGGCCAGTAAGACGCTCACGATTTTGATCATTTAAGATCGTTTTGTATTTATTAAGTGACTGGTTAGGATCTGAGTAGCCTTTATAACGATATTTATAAGTGACTGGATCAACATTAACATAGTAGACTAATTCATTATTATCTGTATGATAATTGAATCTCCTAACAGGATGTAAAGATTTCTTACTATTTTTATTACCGCCATTACTTTGACTAGAAGTGTGATGATGTGATTGTTGGCTTTCTTTATCGTTAGGGTGATGTTGACTTGTTATTATATAACCAGCGTAAGGTTTAGCTTGGCTCCAACCGTAACACATTGAATAGTTATTGATTTCAACATGGGAATGGCATCTGGCTAAGTTACCATCATAAACTCCACTACACATGATAAGGTTATCTCGAATATTTTGCGCCGTTTCAAAATCAACATTTTGGCAGGATGAGCGTATATTTGTAGGTGATCTTGATACAGACAATGTTGGTGTTGATTCAGACATTTCTAGTGTTGTTTACTAACCATGAATTGAAATAATATAGAAAGAAAAAACTGGAAAGAACACTCTCAAGTCTCGATAGATGCCTACCGAAGTGTGTTGAAAGAATAATTTTACTGCCGCATAAAGTACTCTCTCCTGTATTATAATTATAGTAGAGTGTATAAAATTTAAAATCGTTTGATTTCCATATCCGTCATACCTTACTTTACTCCATCTATTGGCAATCTAAGTTCAGGCCTATAAATGTACGGCTGAATATAGCTTATTCTCATCGATATTAGTGATGAAAGAAAAAAATTTCATATTATAAATGATGACAGCAACCGTCTAAATTTACATATAAACTGTAACTGGATGCTTGTTGTTATGGTGGTATGATACACTATAGATATTATCTTTAAATACTAATGTATGGACTCCTATATAACAGGTTAGGCATAGCTGGATAGCATCATGGGGCATATGATGATTAAGGTCTTTCAAGTAGGGCGTCGTTACATTGTTTGTTATTTTTCATCATCACAACGAGGTCATTATTTCAGCAGTAATTATTAGATAATACTGATTCTATTCAGTCTTTTCTTCAATATTATAATGCTATCTAGAATAATAACAAACGTTATCAGTTTATTACTATATTAAACAATTGTAGCTATTGTTCTATATGTCAAAATGGGTCACGATTGAAGAAAGATCTTGACTGTATAGTTTTTCAATATCAAAGAAAGGAAATTCTGGTTATGCTGATGAAATAACATTTCAATTTGCGTTTGTAGCCTGCCTACTACGCTGAATTCTATCATTTAAGAAGAACCTTATATGCGTAACAAGTTTGCCTTATCACAATTTACTTTCAGATAATTACATTGTCAAGTATAGAAGTAGGGTAAATTGTTGGGCTTAAAAAAAATTCTAGTAGTTTAGTATTCTCATTCTACATTATTATAGTACTTTTTAGCCAAGTAAGTACAAGATATCATTGTTTTAGGATAATTATAGATCTATGGGATACCGTATGCATTTACGGTAAGCTAATGTTGAATGTTAGTTTACAAAGTTGAAATAGAACAAATGGTAGAATAGAAGTGTTTCGAATGGTCTAACTTATTTAGTTGCTATAAATTAAAGCATCACTACCGTCTCTTTCTGCCAATTATGAGTTGATAAATCACAGTGGAATCACTAAATTAATGTTTAATTTTCAAAATACAGCCCTACAGATCTAAACTATTGCGATATTTTAGAATAAATCATATAGATCAAATTCTTCAGGCCGGAATGGCTCCATAAACCATATACATGGGTATTGATTGATCAAGTTGGAGTACAAGTAGCAAGAGTTACAAAGGAATAAAAATATGAGATCTAGTACTTCCAGAAATGTAGATTATCCGATTTCTATGCATGAGATCGTATCAATCGCCCACCTTAAGCAATTATGAAATGATGGCATGCCACTAGTGGATTAACGCTTAATTTTAATGCTCATAACAGTTTTTGCACGAAATAATAACGCTTTTAGATCAATCATATCAGTGTCGACTATTTCTTTTAAGTAGTTGAGTTAAAAAAGTATACTATTAGTAGATATCCTTCAAATTAGGTAGCCAAGATATAAATAGTATGCATGATATAAATTAGCTCTGCTAGATAATTACTCGTTTAAGTTTAAAAAGCATGCACTGAACACTAATATAACTCGTAGCAAACGGATGCTGAATCGAAAGCTTTTAGGGTAACAACGAAATGAATGTTGTATTTAATGTACTTCATCTCTGTAGATTACTCGGTCTCTATTAAATGTTATCTGCTTCTTGTGTTCTTTTTAGTGATCAAGGTGCATATTTCACCGGAGCAATACCAATATTTGCGTACATGCCATACTATAATCCCGATGTCGAGATATGAAAGCACCCGTTACCTACTGGTATAACCGTAATTGTTCACATTTACGGAACGTCATATTTCGAGTTATATTAAAAATAAATTTACAAAAATTTCCTACCGTCTTGCTATGAGCAACCGGTCCTCACGTGAACTAATTCATTAAAAGCCCTGAAAATGCATCATAATAAAATAAGGTACTTGTTAGTGCTCTCTTTCTTATCTAGCAATATTTGCACTATATTCTTTAATGTAGATTATACAAACATTTATTCTACGAAACCATATTCGAGTTATAAATTAAAAGTGGTAGTTCCTTTTTTATTAATCTATCCAAATAATAGGGTTATTTTCTAAATCAGATATTAATTGCCGGTATATGAATAAACGGTAAATTAAACGAACCTTAAAATAGACGGAAGTGTTCATAGCATTTATGATATAAACATTAAGATATGATGACGATATTTGAACCAGCTATTAACTTTTAAGCGTGATTGTAAGTATATTAAGATGAAATTATAACCAAAACATACGAATATTCCATTTTTAAACTAACTCATAACTACAGAAGTTATATAACAATACAAGGTACAAACCAGAATACATGCTAATGCTCTAAAATAGGTCAAAGTATTACGGATACGAAGACATATTAGAAATACTTTAAGTTAATTATTTGTTTGACCAGAATTATTCCAAGGTGAAACTTTTAATTATTGAAATTATATAAACAAAGGAAATGGAATACAGCATACATGCATACAGGATGGAAATGACCATATGTACATACGTATTGATATTATAATTATTGGAAACTTCCAAATATTTTCCTGACAATAAGTATTCTGTAGCTTACTTCATAACCATTTACAGTAAATTAGAAAACGGCTGTTCCAATTCTAACTTCGGCACATATGAAAATTTATTTCTAATCGCAAAATTTATCAGTTTCTCACCATACCTTTCAGTCACGATGTCAAAATTTCGTAGAACCTATATTTCATAGTAAATATCAGGTAAATATTCCAAGAAATTCTTGATAATTCTT